CTAGCCAAACTGTTAAAGCTGGCTTGCATCTGACCATAATATTTTACTATTTGGATGTGTTTTAGGCAAAAGGTCACTGGTGTTTTATCTAAGAAGTCTTATTTTGTTGTAATGGAAGTTAAAGCTGCTAATAGGACCCCCTAGGATTACTGAAGCTAGGCTGATGAATCAGTAGGCTACTTCAAATGACAGATCTCCCTTACTAACTAGAGAGCAATTCTCAATTGAATGTGTCATGGATTAAATTCTCACTTTTTTGTTTCAGTCTACAGAATTTAAAGCTTTAGTTCAGTATCTTATGAAAGATACAATTTTCTTTTTTCCAAATGTTTTGCAGTACCAGCAGTGTTATTTATTCAATGAGATCAAGAGTTCACCAGCAATGGAGCCCCAGGCAAAGCTCTGAGCAGGAAGTTGTAAAACACTGACTCTCCTAATGTGACAATCTTTTGTGGGAAGAGAATTTCTTTGCCACCCGTCCATAATTAACAATATAGCTCAGAGATTCATGGCTCTGTTTTGACATAAGTCACAGTAATAGACATAAAGCAGTTGACATGCTCTGCTAAATTAACGGCGAGGAAATGTTTAAGTCCCCATTGAAAGCTTGTTCTTAATTACATTTTGGTGAATTTATTTGTACAAACACATGCAGACTCACGGAAACTTACACACGTTGTAATACACATTTCATGGAGCTTTGAAAATGGGAGCCATATATCCCACAAAGCTCACGGATTGGCTTCGTAGGAGGGAGCCTGTCTTGAAGTGATTTCATGAGTACAGGAAGCTGAGAGGGAGAGAAAGGTTGGGAGGAGGAGGAGGAGGAGGAGGAGTGGGAGGGGATTTCATTTCAAACTGCAACAAATGTTGACCGTTACCTCTCTGGGCTGAGCAGCGAGCTGTCTGCCCTCATGTGAGTGGGAAGAAGAAAAAAGAAAGTAGAAAGAAAAGAAGTGCTGTCTTGATGAAGTCACTTCTTCCTAACAGAAAGGGTGCAGGTTTCCTTCACTGTCTCTAGGTACAGTCTGGGTTCTGATGTCTGTGTCATGACCTACAGCAGATGTTCCATACCCACCAGACACACACACACCCTCAGGCGGCAGTGCCGAAACAGACACTTTTTGTCGCTGACAACCTTTGCCCCTCTTCCTGCATCACATTTTCACAGCCTCTCAAAGGATCCTTCTGTCTCACCCCAGTTTGTGCTCAAATTGATGTAACCAGTCAATGAATGAAGTATTCTCATTCGGTCTCTGTCAGCCCGTTTCCGAGTCATGCTTGTGATAATAACTCTGGCCAGAAGATGGCACCACTGTACTGGTGTGCTGTCCAGATCTGCCCCCTGGACATTAGCGTCATCAGTACATCATTAAACCCTTCATTTATTGCTTCATACAGTATATTTGTGTGGAATCGAAACTATTTCCACCTATGTTTATGTAAAGAGTCCATCTCTTAGTGTTGTGCAGTGAGTTATGAAGGCAGTCATGACCTGAGTCTGCAACTGACAATGCCATTGCGAGTGGACAAAAGAGAAATTATTACAGCAAATTGGGGAAATAAAATGCTGTCATGGATTAGCTCATCCAGTAAATCCTGAAACAAGTTGTTACTGTAGAGCTGTGGTCATTTGTAAGCTGTTGTTTTTTTCCCCCTCTACAGTCATCAGGGATTTTTTTCCTGGTTTGGACAGGTGTCTTTTGTCCTTGGCAAGAACAAACATATCAGTGTCTGTTTGATTGTGTGATAATGCAGCATGCATTTAATTAAAACAGCAGAGGGCTGATGCTTGAGGAGCTCAAATAGCCACATACCTGCATTCCAGAAGTGCTTGAATTTGATAATTGATTGTACAGCATAAAGGGAGTGCACATTATGGAACGCAAAAAACTAAGGTATGACACATTTGTATCTATAGCCACTAATAGTGCCTGCTGGTTTTTCTCCCACCGGATCCTCAACCCACAGTGAAAAGCATCTGTATACAGTATGTAAAAAGAAGATGTCTGTATTTGCTATGTGTGTACAGTTATCATGCTATCCTGCACAACCACACACTTGGCAGCCTCAAAAATAACCACTGACTTTAGGCAAGACAGTTTCAGCAAAAACAGATCATTATATATAGACTTTGTTCAGGTAGTATTTAATGTAGGCCTATTTTACTGCATTTAAAGACTGTTACTAATGATTGTTTTCATTTCATGAAAAATAACAAACAAGTGATGTCTTAAATTAATTATTTTGTCCAACAAACCATCCAAAATCTGAACATATTCAATTTAGAGAGAGGCAGTGGATGTTGTTTTCTTCAACCAGCAGTCCAAAACCCATACATATATAATAATAATAATAATCGTTATTTGTAGAGCACTTTTCAAAAACAAGTTGTGCTATAGTGCTATAACAAGTGTACAGGTGCTGGTCATATAATTAGAATATCATCAAAAAGTTGATTTATTTCAGTAATTCCATTCAAAAAGTGAAACTTGGATATTATATTCATTCATTACACACAGACTGATATATTTCAAATGTTTATTTCATTTTTTATTTCATGCTGTTGTGTATGGGACTAAAAGGTCAGAAATATAACAAGGTGAAAGGCCATGAAGAGCTTTAAAAGTGATCAATAAAATTTTAAAGTCAATTCTAAAACATACTGGGAGCCAGTGTAATGAAGCTAAAATAGGAGTAATGTGGTCATATTTCTTTGTTCTGGTTAAAAGCCTGGCAGCTGAGTTCTGGACAGTCTGGAGTCGATCAGTAGATTTTTGGGTTGAACAGGTGAAAAGGCTGTTGCAATAATCCAGGCGTGATGTGATGAAGGCGTGTAAAATGGTCTCTGTGTCCTTAAAAGTTAACATAGATCGAATTTTTGCTATATTTCTAAGTTGATAAAAACATCAACAGCTTTGTGGTGTGCTGCTCAAAATTTAAATTACTATCAAACCAAACACCAAGGTTCTTTGCAACGGGAGTTCAGCCGGAGGAAATTATTTGACATCCATTTTTTAACTTCACAAAGGCAGTTGTTAAGTGAACTCAGCATTCCAGGGTCTGTGGATCTAACAGACAAGTACATTTGTGTGTCATCAGCATAAATATGAAAAGAAATGCCATGTTTATGGATAATATGTCCAGGGGGAAGCAGATACAAAGAAAACAAAATGGGTCCTAAGACCGACCCCTGAGGCACACCATATTTAACTAGACAGAATGAAGAGACATAGTTGTTTACAGACGCGCAATTACTATTTGACAGGTAGGATGAAAACCATTATAAGGCAGTACCAGAGATCCCCACCCAGTGCCTCAGTCTGTCTATAATGATGTTGTGATCAATGGTGTCAAAAGCAACGCTAAGGTCCAGGAGTACAAGGACTGAGCACATACCTTCATCAGCAGACATTAAAAGGTCATTGGTGACTTTAAGCAGGGCAGTGTCAGTGCTGTGGTACTTCCTGAAACCAGATTGAAACTTTTCAAATAATTTGTTATTTTCCAGTAAAGTGAGCAATTGTTTGGACACAATTCTTTCTAGAATCTTTGCAATAAAAGGCAGTTTTGAAATTGGTCTAAAATTTTGTGGGAGGGAGGGATCTAAACCAGGTTTCTTTAAAAGTGGGTTCATGCAAGCTTTGTTAAAATAATCAGGACACAACCAGTAGATAGGGAGCTGTTAAAAACAGAGATCAAATGGGGCCCGACAGAATCCATTACTTTCAGTAAAAACTTTGTAGGTATTACATCAAGTGGGCTGGAGGACACTCTCATTTGTGATACTAAGTCGATGGGATAAAACTGGTTAAAACTCTCTTGTTGCTGGTGAGGGACCTCTGAGTAAGAGGCAGTGGGGGTAATAGAGGCTCTGATTGACACCACCCTATTGGTAAAATAAGATAAAAACAATTCACAGTCATCATTACTTCCAGCTGAGGCACAAGGAGAGGTTGGGTTTACCAGCTGATCCACAGTCTTAAACAGAAACCTGGGATTGTGTTTATGTGTAGTAATGAGTTCAGAAACCACTATGTATATAATACATAGTGTATTAAAAAGAAATACATCAAATCCTTACATTTGAGAGGATGAAACTAATGAATCTTTGGCATTTTTGCTTGAAAAACTAAAACAATAAATTTGATAAAATCAAAAAACATATTCAATTTGCAAAGATATAAATTGGAAAAAGGCAGTGGCATTGTTACTTTTAGTTCATTAAATTACTTTGTTTGCTTTAAAGTTTTCTATCAAAAGCTTGATCAGATGTTTCAGCACCAGTGTATTGTGGTGTGTTCCTGTTATTTTGTCCACTGAGTCTGTGTAGATACAGATGTATTATATGCATAGAAATGTTTTATATTTTTTTAATGCATGTAATGATGTCATAACTCTGATGCAACATCCCACTCTGAGCTTCAGGACTTTGAAGCAGAGCCTTGTCCATTGACTATTAACATAAGCTGCTCTGCTAGGTTGTTAAAGGTGCGTAGTGCATGTCCAAGGCCTTTTCCATTCAGCATTCATTCCACAGTTAGGACCGCCGTTTGAATTATTCTTCAAGATCTGCAGTCTGTGTGTAAGGTCCATTTTCCCTTGAATCAAATATTCTGTGCAGCAGGAGCTCAGGATCTGTTGTACCTGGCTGTGTACAAGCAGTGATTTCACAGAAATTAAGCATTGCACTGTTGTTTTACTTTGCGTCATATATAATGTAGTTGCGTCAATCATGGATCAAAACAGAATGAGATATTATGACAACTGTCAGGGATTGATAGAAGAATAATGGGTTTCTAAAGGCTGTAGAAGCTCTGTAAACCTGTCTGGTGCCATCCAACCACACAGTCTATCAAGAAGCTATCCTGCGGCTTGCTCAGCTGTCAGTAGAGGAGTCCTAATGATTCCCCTCTGCGTGTGTGTGTGTGTGTGTGTGTGCGCACGTGTCTGTCTGTCTGTCTGTCTGTCTGTGTGTGTGTGTGTGTGTGTGAGAGAAGTAAGTGAGGGGGAATAGGTGGCTGCTGAGTATAGGCACTCTGACAAGCAAAGAGAGAAGAGAGGAAAGACGAGGGGTTAGAGCCTGGCAGGTGTACAGAGGATCCTTCGATACGCTGATGACACCCCCACCTGGATCTGACAGGTATGAGTTGGTAAGCCTGGGTGTTCATACAACCCTCCTTCTCCTCCCCCTCTTCCCCACTCTGCTCTGCTTGCCCAGAGCCCCGAGGGTTAAACATGAATAATGAATTCTGGCTCCTTATGGCAAGTGCACAGGAGCCCCTATATGTTCCTCACTTGTCATACCAAATACTGTCACAATATGACGGCAAGCTGTTCTTCATTACGAGAGGCTGTTCATCAAATAGTGTTTATTTTAATATCAATTTCAAAGGGATTTTGTAAAATTTCTCCAGGATGTTGTTTTACAAGCTCAGCTCCTCTTTGATATCAAATTTGCTACTCTTGCCTGACAAGGCATGTTTTAATGGTAATATGGTTATATGCTGCATTTGTAAACATCAGATTTCCTTAGTATGATTGAAATAAACACTTGACAACATAGTTAAAATTATTGGCTGCCAAAATTAAGAACCATATTTCCTACAAACCCTGTTACATACTGACATACTGTAAACGAGATATTGAAGCCATTTCCTTGTACCTCTATTTGCACATTTATTTTTTTGAGGATGATAAAGAAGCTGGACACGTTTCTTTTTCTGACTCCAGAATTAAAAATGCTTTAGCTGCTTGTTCTGGAAATACAGCGCTCTCTTCCTGTGCAGCACTGTAAAGCAATCCAGCAGACTGACATGTAAACCCAACCTGGTAACACATGGCTAAATTTCTGCCAGATGTGAAATGTGTCTAATTATTATCCATCCCATCCATCCATCTTCATCCGCTTATCTGGGGTCGGGTTGCAGGGGTGTAATTATCAGAAATTTAAAATTTTGAAAATAAAAAATAGTGTCTGAAGTTTCTCCATTTACTATAGTAAAATAATGGTTAATAATGTACCGTAAAACTTCAATTAATACCTGAGTCCCAAATAGCCGCCAACCTCCTTTACTGGCCTGGTGTGGGTACACATTTTGACAAATAAACACCTGCCTTAATTAAACGATTGGTCTGTTTTTTATAGAAGTTCTTTGGATGTATAAAACCTCTTAAACCCTGCGGGGTCACACGCTTTAGCTGCTTCTAAGCTGCTCAGATCGTTAATACAAATATTAATGTTTAAACGTATGATCAGTATGTCAATATGGACATGCTGAACATCGTTAGATCGGTTAGATTTTCCACAATACCACCAAGTTCATTTAACGGAAACAACAAAGTCTCATTTTTCTAGATTTACCAGTGTAACCTGCATGGCTACAAGAGAGGAAAAGGGAAAAAAAGTTCTGACTCACCTTAACTTTGAAGCGCTCGTTAAGTCCGAATGTGTCCGTTCCTTGATTATTTAATATCCTGTCTGTAAGGGTCCACCCATCAAAAGAATCAAAACAGCTTTTCAGAATTAAAGGCCTGTCCAATATGGATGCCTGTCACAAATAAAGGAAGGTTCTGTTCAGTGATTTTAGCAAATAAAAGCCTGGGCTATTATTCAAAGTTTTACGGTATTTATGAAAACGGTTTATGGTACTAAAATGTTTCATGAATGATGGAGTGTCGGTTATGTTGTAAGTGTGGGGTCACTATTTTGTTAGATACAAAGCTGGAACACGACTTGTATTCCACCCCCCACCCCACCCCCCCAATATATTTTCGTTTGAAGATGTCAGTGGAGGTTGGTTGATCTCTGACATTATCGTCTTGCATTTAGAGTCCCCCCACGAAAACCAACTAAAGGTTTAATTATCAAATTAGCATGCTAGTGGTCCACTAACATAATAAGAATAGATTATCCAGTTATGTGGGGCAGAGTTCACATTGGCTTGAAAATGACCTCACCTCTAACAGCAGCAGACGTTTGGTCTGGAAAATAAGAAAACATAGAAAACCACTGGCCATGAATTATAACTCACACTATGATTCTTTCGACAATCAGCTGTGTTTCATATAATGCAGTATTATAAGTCAATGGTGAACAGTCAGAAATAATAAATTACTTTCCAGGTGAACATGAATGCGTTTTTAGGACACATTTTTTTTCATCCAGGGTTTAGAATTTAATGCTTATAAATATGGAGAAATATTGTTCAGCATGATTTTTCAAAATGTAGCATCACTATGAAAGAAACCAGGCAGAAATAATTTTCATCAGCTGCGCATTTAATGTATTACAACAGTACAAAGTGAACTTTTGCTTGCAAAATAGGAGTGTTTTTTATGTACAATATTTATACAATAATATATAGTTTAAAAAACATTACAGTTTAAACATCTGACAGTTTATTGCACAACACATTTATAAATTATCATCAAACCACACATGAAACAGATGAGGTCTGTCATATTTCAACACTTAACAGGAAATGTATTTATTATTTATCTTATTTTATCTTCTTCTTCTAGATTAGCATGAATCAAGGTCCTGTGGGGGAGTACATTAACCCCACTGATACTGAAATGGTAAAAAAAAAAAAAAAAAAGGCAGCGCTGCAGAATGATACTGATAGATAATCTTGGTGACTGTTGTAACACAGAAAGTTCATCTTTCATCATTGCAATGGGTGGAATACAAACAATCAAAACTTAAACCCTGAATGAATGCGATGCCTCAGACTGAATTTTTTATCATGATAATCATTTGAAAGTTTAGATATGGCACTCTATAAATACAGCAGCAAGGAGATAACAAACACTCAGGTACAATGTACATTTGAATGCAAAATTATAACTAGTGAATTATACGCTGAAACATGGAAACAGTCAGGATGTAAAGCCAAGATAGCGCTGTGAAACAACAAACAGATGTTTAATGAATAAACATTACAAGGATTGAAGCACATATCATTAATCATATATCCACTCTGTGTACAAAATATTAAGAACACCTTCTTTAGCCTATATCCTGCGCTACAGACTCACAGGTCAACTGTCTCAAGGGTTGGAAATCCTTCTCCTGCCTTTTTCCAAAGTTTTAATTTCCAGGTTATGTTCAAAGTAGATTTATTGGGAAAATCAATAAGGCATCAAAGCCTTCATCTAACTTAATCTGACCAGATTACTTTACAGGAGCAGCAGGTGTTCTTAATATCTCATACACTCTGTGCATTTCAAGTATCACGCTGAATGTAAACAATGACTGATGAGACAGGGAGGGTGGGGGAGACACGCTGTTGGCCAAGGTTAGGCAAATCTGATCCACGATCAGACTTACAGCATCATTAATCATGCTTTCTGCAACAGTTCAGTTTGGTCCCACTTATCTTTGAATGGTTGAATTGGTGGTCTATAGATCATCACTGTACAAAATTTCCTATCTCAAATGGGATCTTTTCCATACAATGGCATGTATTATTAATAGCTTCTACAGGAGCATTTAACATGAATGAAACATGAGACATAATATTTGGCACACAAGCCAGGGATTGGGTCTGGAAATATCTCTACATATATTTCACATTTTAAGGTAATGCCTTCTCAGTGTTGTATTATTAAAGAGCTGGACCTTCACCTTGTCAATGACACATTTTCGGTAAGCTGTTCAATCCCTAGCAGAAACACACTACAAAACTACAACTACAAAAAAAAACCATATCACAGGGAGTTTCAAGTGTGGAAATGAAAAGTAATGATGCTAGAGTCTTTAGTGTTCTCTTTTTTATGCCTTCACAAGGCAGTAGGAAAGGGCGTAACAACACGAAGTTACACATCTCTGCTCCGGATGGCTCTAAATGGCAATGTCACTCCAAGCCAATGTTGTGTAATGTGAATAAGTGTCCTTCATCTTTGACATATTAAAAGCACTTTGAATCTTGTCTCACCACATGTGCTGGCCATTAAATTGGCTCCTGTCTTTGTTGAGCTCCTCCAGTGACTTTTCAAGTTGAGTCATTCTTTATTAAGTGCTGTTCTCTTCAGAGCTCCAGCCATGCCACACACACATTTAGTATAAGCACCCACTACAAAGACAAACCATTACCCAGCGGAAAAGAATTGGCTGCAAATTCAGCAACTGGCCCAAATCCCCCCCCCCCCTCTCTCTCTCTATAGGAGCTGTTTAAAAGTTGGATGTTTGCCTGTTGGAGTTTCTTCTAAAAAAATGATGACATTGGATTCAAAAGTCATGCTTTGGGACGATCTGCTGTTTGATGTGTGCAGTGGTTTGTGTATGTACATTTGCATGTGTATGTATCTCTTTGTGTATGTATTATCAGCTTGTTAATACTGTAGGTCCATTAAATCTGGTGTGTGTGTGTGTGCGATTGCACCTAATAACGTGTGTGTTCCGATGGGTCTGTAATAGTATGTTTTGGTGCGTACTGTGTGTGTGTGTTTCAGCTCTCTGTAGACAGGGCTGAGAGGATCTGCTCCACTTTATATGCCAATTTCTGCTTCTGGGCCTGTTCATCCTGCTCCAGTGCCTCAATAATCTATAACACACACACAGAAACACACATGGGTACAATCTGTGAAACAAAGTACATGAAGGCATATCGTTGGTCAGCTATGGGAAAGATACCAATAAGCACATACACATTATGAAGCAAATAACACAACAGATCTATAACACCAACAGCGTCCACTCTGTTTTGATGATTAAATATTTTGTACATTTTACTACATCTGATTAAAGTTAAGTTTCTGAATTTTTTTTGCAAGTTAATTTGAGTTAATCACCACTGATTTGATTAATAAGAATGCAGTGTATATGTATAAACATTAACAAAAAAACTCTTATGCAGTATAAGTGCAAAGATTTACTGCTTTTCTCAGTTTTATATCTTTGTAAATAAATATCTTTGGCTTTTGGACTGTTGGCTGACATTCCCAGCCTCTGGGAAAAGGCCTTTTGTACCATTTTAATTTAAAATCAATAACATATCATTTAACAACTAAAATAACAATTAATTTCAGCCGAAACCATAAGCCTTTAAAGAGAAAGTTAACACCCCCTGAAATCCTTTTTTTTTTATGCTGACCTACAGTGGTTTAATTTCTCACCTTGCTGCAGTGTGATGTTCAGGTGTATTTCAAGACTCACTGTTGGGTTGGTTACAGGTGCATCAGAGCACACTTCTGACCACACCCAACCACACCCAGCAGTGATGCTGCAGCCTGAAAATGCCAACCAGAGGGCAGCAAAACACTGCTATTTATCCTGGTGTTACCTTTCTTTAAACCTGCAATAATTGACTGACACAGGGCAACAATGGCATTCATTAAGAATTGTGTTTGTGGCCACACAATTATTTTAAGTTGAATAGTCACTCTGCTTTCAGCTCAGCCTTCACCAACTCCTGAGGGAATTATCTGGTTCTTTAGTGGCTAAAAGCTCCACTATGTTCACCAGATAGCCGCTAACTTTGTCAGTCTTCTGTTTGGTGCTGGACAGGTAGCATACAGAGGTTTTGTCAGAGCTAAACAGAGCTATCAGCACACAGCTGTTTTCAATAAAAAGCTTTAAAAAACTACTTTTAACAGTGTCTTATAGTTCTCTTTATCCTTTGTTTATGTAAAAAGATTGAATATAGCTACTTTAATATCAATTAACAACACCAGCAAGATCTCTACAGCACATTTATATGTTACAGTGTGTTGACTGGCCTCACCTCTTGGCTGTACTTGCTGACATAAGCGTAGATCTCATGGAGGGCACTGAGCATGTTGAACTCACTGGAGTGAAGGCGGGCCTGTTCAGCCAGATAGGCATTCATATCCTGATCACTGATGGCAGGCAGGCGGTTGATGTCAGCGTAGTACCTGAGAGGAGACACACACACACACTCAGTGTCAGAGTCAAGGGCACAGTCATGCATACCAGAGCTTTTCTCCTCACTTGGATTCAGTATATCCAATGTTACAGGCATCAGTAAATCGGAGGTGTTTTGGCAGGAAAATAAGGACATTCACTCACAGGTTCAGTCATTTAGTCGTGGTGACTTCAAACCTCAACACAACATTGCTGTAAACAAACACACAGCCTCGTATAACTATACGTCAGAAAACTTTCACTTGACTACATATTAATTCTGTCACTCCCAACCGTATTAGGGCTGCATGATTAATTGCTTCACGATTTGCATTCATAACTCAAATGCAATCGTATTTATACATGAGAAATCTGCCATAATTGCAGTAGCAGGGAGATCTGTTTCACCAAACCAAGCGCTCATAATTTGTCCCCAACAAAGGACGAGACTTCACAGCAGCACATATGAGAAATGTGTGAGAGATACGGAAAAAGTAACATGGTAAAAGATAAAACTTCAGACGAACAAGACCAAAATATGTCAAAATTAAGAACCTCTCAGATGATGGTAAGTGAGAGGGAATAAATCAATCAACCACTGTTCAGGCATATTTGCAGAATTGTATAATAAAACCATGAATAGTTACTAACAAAAAATACAATGTGATGGAGCTATTAAAAGACAATTCTGAAATCATGATTCTCATTTTATCTAGAATTGTGCAGCTCAATATCCAGTAATAAGCCTCACCTTACTACTAAATCCAAACCTTAAGCCAGCACTAACAATAACCTTTAACATAACAAACCTTATCCTATGTAAACCTAACCTAAACTAAAACAAATACCAATTCAAACTTTCACCTAAAACGCAGGCCCTGATTCTTCACTGACCCCTTGAAGAAGTGATGAGTCCTCAGTTTGGGGGATTTCAATATCTTCCTTTACTTGTGAGGGGTCTACACACGCACACATACACACCTTTCTACCCAGCTTTTGTAATGCGGTATGTCCTTGGCATAGAGTAGTTTGGTGGAGGGTGAGTCTTTGCCCAGACGGTGTTCAGAAGTTGAGCAAGAGTCCATAAAGGTTTGTGCCACCACAGACAGACAGGCGTCCGTGATGCTGCTTTTGTGGATGTCAAACACAAACTGGGGATTCTTGATCACATTAACCCAGAAGCGCAGGGGCAGGCTGCAGATATCAAATGAGTAAAGAGAAAGAGAGACAGAAAGAATTTGTATTTGAAGTTGATTTACTTAATGTGTGGACAATGTTCTTTTTTGTTTGTTTTTTCTTGACCAATCCTGTACTGACTTTTCAAATTCACTTTAGTAATGAGAACAAGATGTAGATGGAGCTTAGCAAACACTTGAGTTACAGATTGTGCAAGAAAATAATAGCTAAGTTCTGTAAAGAGCAGCAACAACTGAAAGTATAAAAGAACAAACACAAAACACACAAGAGAATAAGATAAAATGAGATATGGGTACATCCTGGCACAGTCAAGGTGACAAGTCAGGCTCCCTCTCTTTCTCACCAGTTGCTCTTCCAGGTGTGGCGAACGTCCATGTCATGGATGCCATGCCTGTCAGCCTGCTCGTCCAGGAAGTCAAACATGTATTTGATTGCCAGAGGCAGGGCAGTGCCCCTACACACAGTGCTGAACAGGGTCTCAAACAGGTCATCCACAAACTTCTGCAGTGTGCCCTATAAGAAACAGTGCATAGAGTTAAGACTTGTAGTGTTTCATGACTACATGAAAGGTTGAGCTAAAGAAAACAAATGTGTCCAAAATTATTCTTAAATCTAACATCTTTAAGAACTTTGCAGCATTTATTTCAACTCAGTTGGTTGCAGATGTTACATTAAACAAATAAATGTAAGTCCAAAATATAGTTACCCTGACAATAATAATTGTAATAATATAGCATACCTTTGTTGCTAGTAGCCTCGTCAGGTAGATCTCAGAAACCATCTTGCTGCCACGCTCGCCTTCTTTCTGGTCTCCATGGTCGTGATTCTTGACTAAGTGCCAAACTTTGACCCCACTCTCCAGGTCAGCGGTCAGCATGGGCACACGGGAGTGGGGGCTGTCCGGGCTGGTGGGTGTGGAGCGGAAGGGTACGTCCACACCTAGATGGGCAAATGTCGGATATAAAGAAGATATGTATGCCAAAATGCTCTTGATGCAGTTTGTAAATAGAAAATATCTCGTCTGATGTTTGTCAGACAAGGACTTGCTCAAATGGAAGGAAAGTCACATTTGTTTCTCAGATCTGAATTTTAGACAGACAGCCCTCTTTGTAATCTGCAAGTGAGCAGGTTGGATGTGTGTGTTTAGACTGTATAATAACTTGCTGTCCTTTTTGTATTGGTTGTCATAGTGATGACACAGACGTGCACTCATTCACTAAAAGCACTTTTTCTATCTGGGCTCTGGTCCACACTTTCTGTCTCTCATTGTTTTTTGTTTTCTTTTGTTTTTTCTGTCATCCTGTTTGCTATTACATGTGTCGTGTTTTTGTAACATTCACAGATCATGGTGACAACACGAACAGATGGTCTAACACAGCTGTAAGTTCAATGAATGTTAAGTATTTGTATTTCTTAAACAGAACTGACCATATCTGCTGATACTCCGTGGGAAGCTGGCTGAGGAAGGAATGTTGAAAGAGGACATCTGTTTGGACACCAAGGCCACCACACAGCGCTCAGACACCTGGAAGACAAAGGTAAAGCTGACAGTTATTTTTATGAATTTGAAAGTAATCGTGGTTGGAATTAAAGAAATGCCAGGGATTTGCAAAATAATGATTCCGATGTTTTGAAATTCTTCCTTGGGCAGTCAAGTCACAAAACTTACTAACATATAATGGCCTTTCAGTAAAATATCCCTTAAAAATCAACAGTAGACATCTTCTATCATCATCAGCTGGATAGAAATACAGACAGCACACACTGATCACAACAGCTTCAACTACCAAATAGGACCAAATCTATCCATATTGATATCTACAGTATATCGATGGAATTCCTCAAACTTAAAGTGCAGATACACTTCACTGAACTAAACATCAAATTTAAAAGCTGAACTTTTCATCAGTGAGAAAAGGGGAAGTCCTTTGCATGGCAATATAATTCACTTGGGTGAAGGAATCAAAACTAGGTTTTACCACACTGATATGGAGCTCAAAATTAATTGCATTTATTTCTATGTATTTGGTGTATGGCAGCCCTTATTTTTCATGATTATCTGTTTCTAACAGAGACAACTTCAGTATAACTAAATGAACTGAACTCAGATTAAACCTTTTAATAATAAATAATAACGCTCAGCTTTGCCTTGCTGTGGGAAAGAAGCTGGTGAGATGTTAATCAAATGCAAAGGTTTTTGAACTGTGAGGCAGTAAGAGTGGAAGGGGGGTGAGAAGAGAGCATCGTAAGGTCAAGATACTGCATGAGAGGGACATATGTATGGTGGTGTTCTAAAAAGTTGATTTGGCCTGCTTAATTGTACTCCTCCTCCTAGTCAAAACTCAGACATGATGCACACATTTTTAGATCCAGTGTAACTAACTGCCCGAGAATAACATGTATTATCTCCAATATCCGTTGCGAATGCCATAAATCCACTTAGAAGTCATGCTGTTAAAAAAATAGATAGCACCTTCTAGCTCCAGAACCTGCCAGAGAATCATCATGTTTTTGAGTTTTCTTCAGTGTCAACTGAATCCAGTGATAGTTGTCTGTATGTTCATGGGTACATTGCAAACAGGAATTGCTCATAGCTAAAGTTGCCGCTTTACCAAAACGCCTGGTCAATTTGTGTATAGTTTGTTCTTTGATTATTTCATTTCATTTCATTTTTTCTGTTTTGAAACCAAAATTGAAAAACAGATAAAAAGAAAACAAAAAAACAAACATCTGGAAAAACAAAGCAGGTGCATTTTGTTCTATTTTTGACCGATGTTGTATCCCTACTGGTTTTCAAACTCACTGGCTGCTGTACAAATGCCCCTGTTGTTCCAACAGCTGTGATCATCCAGCCAGAGGGAATGATCACCAACCCTCCGCAGTGCACCAGGTCGCTCCCGCGCGACCTCCTCTCCCTCGCCCTGTACGGTCCAGCACCCCTTCTATGGGTTGTGTTGCCAGTGATGAAGTCCGATGCTCCTGATTTTACGCATAGCCTAATCCATATGTTACTGCAGCTGAATGCTCTCAGCAGTGTGCAACTTTCTAAATTCTCATGAAGAAAACAGTATAGAGAGGCTGAACGAAAATTACATGAACCTATAATCCGTGTATGATTCCTTAATATACAGCTCGCCGATTTAACTGATAACAGTTCATGTTTGCTGTGTACCATTGGATGTACTGACAACTATGACTGAATTAATTTGATACTGAAGAAATCTTGAAAACCGGAAGGATTCTTAGGCAACTTCTGAGGTGTTCCTGTTCCTCTCCCAGTTGCTAGTGAGTTACAAACTGAACGGTGAGCCTCCTGTTTTTCTAACTGAAAATCCACCTATGTTGATATTCAAGCTCATATTAATTACATTTTATCAGGCACTGCCCTCGCCCAAGTGTATCTACTGCAGGTTTGTCAAGTGTAACACACAAATCAAACACATTAAATATCAAAATTTTTTTGTTTTGAAATGGAAAAACCAAAAAACAACTTGTTTTTTTGTTTTTTATGATTCGGTTTTGAAATGAAATAATCAAAGAACAAACATACACGGAATCTGGTCTAGTGTATGAAGTATTTTTGCAAATTAAATGAAAAAGACCTAAAACTCACCCACAAGTAAATCAAGTTCATAGTGAAATAGGTTTTTAAATGAATAGAGTATACTGGCTGCTGAATATTTTGAAGTTAGAATGGCTACAAGCAGAGCAGTGTCAATTCTTCATTTTGTCATTTTGGCGAGGTCATCTGTAGTAGTGATGGGAATTACAGCTCTTTGAATGGAGCCTGATCTTATGGCTGTGTTCCTTTTCCGAGAGCCGGCTCTTTCAGCTCCCAGAAGGCTCTTCATTTAGTACCACTTCTTTTGATCACTGCCTAAGTTACATTCTTATTTGTTACAAGCAATAAATATCAAATCGGCTCTCAGACGGGAGCCGGCTACTGTCGTTCACTGCTAATACAAATCCAGCTTTGCAACAGAACAAACATTTCTACACCTGGCAGAGCGATTAAGAATGAAAGAGCGGAGTTGTTTATCTCCATGCCTCTATTGTCAAAACCTGATCAAAACACGCTTTTAGTGCAGAAGATTTCAGATTTCCTTTGTCTTTATTTCTCTCTTTGTTTAAACAAATGTATGAAGCACTGAAATATATGCTGTATGTGAGTGGTACAGCGATATTCAGACATTTGACCGACAAAGGAACAGGATGACTCATCCGAGTTTAGTGACCTGTGTAGTTGTATTTATGAGCTGAAAAAAAGATGTTGTAAAAGACACAGGCATGTTCGGTTGACTAAGTGTGCTTGTGACCGGGAGGTTGAAAAAAATTGGCAGGGGTGAGATGAGTGGTGTGAATATGAATGAGTAATGCTCTGTCCTTCATCAACAATTTCTGCTGTGTTGCCCTTGAGCAACTGGATAATTGCAGCTTTTAAAGAAAGTTGAAAAAGATTCAGGGTTTGCAGGAGTAAGACTGAAATAGCTTTGTAAGCTCAGTATTAATTAGAGCTGAAATGATTAGGCGATTGACAGATGATTCATTTGGAACTGTTTTGATCATTTATTAATCGTTTGTCAAACACTTGTCAAACTAACATGCCAAACATTTGCTCGTACCAATCTTCTTAAATGTGAGTAATTTCTGCTTTACTGAGTTTTATATGTTTGTAAATTGAAAATCTTTTTGCACAGGTGTTTAGACGAAACAAGCAATTTTAGTATGTCAGCTTTGGCTCTAGGATGTTTTTTTAGCCCTAGTGTTTTTACTAATTATTATTTTATTATTTATTAGTAACAGACCTGGTAGTGCATGAGTGTGTTGAGTCTCTTCCAGTCACTCTCTATCTTGGTGGTGATGTCCTCATCCTGCAGGACCACACGAGCTGTTCTGCCCTGCCGCCACTCTGAAGGCAAAAACAATCAATAGTGTCAATAGATTTTGACAATTAAAGTGATTGTGAACATAAATGACACAGAGTCGTCACAGGGATTAAAGCTGCCCAAAGCAACACGGAGAAACTGAACCTCTCCAAATCCCTAACCTGTGAAAGCCCCTTAAGGTATAAAACTACAAACCCAAAGCAATATCAGCCACTACCTACAAGGTATCTTATTTACTTCCTTTGAAGATGCGTGTCAGCTGGATTTGTGCCGAGTCATTCAGTGCTAGATGACATGTTGTGGGCGTAAGCCTAAGTGTAGGTGAGCTGTCAGTAAGGTTTAACGTCAGTGTTGGTGAGTGTTGCTCTGGTTGGAGCTGTAAACAGGTGTGGGGAGGGGTTGTCTTCCAGAATCTGATGTTGAACCTTTTGTTGATGTTATACGTCTTCAGTAAACATCTGTGATAACTCCACTGACATGCCCATTCTGAAGTGTGTTCTTCCCTCCTGTCATTATTCCAAAATATTATGTGCCTTGGCAAATTTTCAGTCTCTGTTTCATCTCAGAATAGATAAGAATTAGACAATTAGTATGAGGAAATTAGTCTTTCACAGTGTGATTGCACCCAATGCAGCCTCACCGAGATCCATGTCTGCAGCTCGTGGTCGCTGCGAGTAGGGCATGTTCTTGTACACCGCATCCAGGATCTTCTCCTTTACTTGGGAAATGGTGTCACAGTTGAGCACCTTGACAGGGATTTCTGGGCTGTTCTCATTGTCTGGGTTCACACAGCTCAGCGTCTAGGGATCCAGGATGTACAGAGAGGGAGAGGAATAGGTAGGGGGGAGCAAGAGAAACAGACGAGAGAGAGAGAGACAGAGAGAGAGAGAGACATGTGTTACTTGCTAGGAAAGTCCTTTCATTACCTACTCCTCACCAAACTGTCCTGGTGGAGAGGATCTTGGCCAGAAAAGTAATTTCACACCTCTAGGATGTGGCTGTGCAGCTCTAGCAGGGGCATTAAACAAGTAATGAGACACAGACTCTCAGACTCTCCGACATGGATATCAGAGAGGTGTCATCCTGTCGCTGCCTGGCTCTGCATTGGAGCTAAAGCCTGAGGGGGAACTTATTGTGACGGGCTCGTGGAACCCAGCCAGCTTAATTTTAAAGGTAAGGTAAAAGAAAGAGGCATGTAGTGTTATACAGGTGGCCATATCAGAAGAGTCTTTACTGATTAGCAAACACTAGTAAGCATTTTGTAGACTCTTGAATTCTTGAATTATATTTATCCGTTAAAACACATGTATCTCCATTATCTTTCATTATTTCTCCACTAATTAGGCTAGCAAGACTTGTCTTGTTGAAGTTCATCAAGTTTAGGGGACCTTAAGTACAATAGTTTGTTTGTTAGAAAAGTGCAGACAGAGCTGTTGATGAATTTAAAATCAGTACATTTACAGTATGGGTGGTCTAGGGGGAAAAAGGCCTAACTACCACACAGACCCCAGTTGACTGTAACTCAGCTGGTCTATGTGGTGAAGTGTCCTTGAGCAAGACACTGAACCCCAAATTGCTATCAATGTATCTGTATGGGAGGGGGGGAAAGTCACTTTGGACAAAAGTATTTGCCAAATGAACGTAATGTATTGTAATTGGAAGCCAGTGAGGGGTTAAATCCCTATCTCTGCTCTAGAGACTGCTTTAGATTGATGGGGATATTTGTACATACAAGGGACGGGATGTCGAGGCGATGGCACGAACCCCCTTACATATATAATGACCTCCCAGTTAAGCTAAGAGCAGAAACTTAAGAGTCTACTCCCTCTGTAAAACAACAGTGGGAGTTAGCAGTGACAAGGACTACAATCAGTGGGACTTCACAATAAATGAAGGTGTGGTCCGGGGTTAAACTCACAGCTATTGGAATGGCTATGTTTCCAATCTAGAGATCTAGACAAATTTTGAAGAAACTTTGTCTAGATCTCCTTAAACTTGACGAGATGGACGTCTGGCTAGGCAAAATTACTTGTCCACTACCGTCATGTTTTAGAAACTATCCAAATATTCAAAGCATTCATAAAATTACAACACAGCAGAGGCGCATTCCAAATTTCTGTGGATCTGTCAAGGCTCTTTGCCAAGAGATGTACAAAAATGAATACAACATTTTGGACTTTCTTTATTAATGTCTTTATGACTCACCAGCGTCTTGTACTCAATCTGCTGTCGAATGAGTTTGTCCTCACTGAGGGAATAGCGTGCTTCTCCGGTGATGGAGTCTATGGGTCCCTTCTCCATTTGCTGTTTGATGGCACAGAACAGCATGAAGAGCGGCTCGCCAGCACACTCCTTTGTTTTGGAAGGGAACCCAGGGATTAGAGTGAAAGGTGGGAGAAGGGAAAATGAGACATAGGAAGAGAGTGAGGGGAAGTAAAGAGATCTGCATTCATCAGCATGGACGATGAGACTCAGTAACTAGAGCATGACACATCAAACATAATATTGCACAGCTGCAGATATGTTTGACTCCACAGGTAACCATTATCCCTCTACAATGACCATAGAACTCATCAATATCAGACAGTTAAAATGACAGCTACTATGAAAATATACACAGCAGTCTATTTCAAAATCAATGCTAATAATTTTAAGAAGCATTGTCATGGTATATCACATTGACACCTGTAGGGTGAGAGAGGTTTCATTTTACCTTGAGAAATTTGTGAAGCAAGAAAGCAAACCAATTTGTCAGCATCTTCTCCGCCACAGACTCTGTTCTGCAAGACAAGAAGAAAGCACACTCATTTGTTAGCAAGAGGCGTCCCACCGAGAGCCAGAGTGCTGTGATTATTCTTTTATAATTTAAGACTTAGAAAAAACATGACATGGAGAGTTTACAGAGAAATAACATCCTTACTCAGCCGCTTGGCCTCAAAGGACACATACTCCAATATACTCTAAGTTAAGTGCTGGCGGTGCAGAACATATTTGGGTCGTGACATAATTGTGCAGACACAACTTTGATGTCCACTTCAAGTCTTTTCACTCATTTTCTTCCTCGCTATGTCTGCACCTAGTTACTTTGCATGAGTACAGATGGGAAATATTTTATGATTTACTTGTAGTAAATCTTGTAAATCGTGTAACAGCGCCCTTAAAATGGCATACAAGCCCTTTCTACTCTGAACCTGATCCAAAGCCTGCAGCTTTATAGCCACCAGTCACTTTCCCTCGTAAACCTGCTGTCTCTAAGTCACTCCTCTTCGACCCTTACCTGCATTTCAACCCTAACCTGTATTGACTCTGACTTCTGTTGACGGCATCCTAGTGTTTTCGCAAGAGCAGCGTGTTTTGGCTAAAAAGTTCTTGTTGTACTGGCTCCCATGTGAACTCGTCCTTATATTTAATGAGTGTGCTTCAAATTGAAAGAGCCCTCTTTTTAAAAAAAAAAAAATACTCATGAAACATTCAGGAGGCTAGTCTCAGCACTGGGAAAACAATCAGCAGATAACCAGAGGTGAGAGATAGAGGGAGAGAGGCAAGAGAAGGGAGGAGAAGAGAGGTGATGGGGGAAGAAACGTGAGCTACAGCTGAATGTTTCATGAGTGGCACCAAGAAGATAAGTCAGACTGACAACAACTCTGCACTCTACACGCTGCACTCACTCTTCCCTATTAGTTTCTCTTCCTCTGCCAGTCCCTCCCACTCTCTATCACTTTTACCGCTCTTGTCTTTCACCTGTGTGCTCAGGCACCCTCAGACTCATACCGGCTGTTTCACGCCACTGCGCAAAACAAAGCTGAACAGAGGTGGGCTTTCCTTCACTGGCCTAGTTATTCATCCATCAGAAGTGCGGTAACTGGGCTGGAAAGAACAATGCACAAAGGAATTATCTATGCCAAAAGATAAGCAGCGCTGATCAGAACTGTTCGGGTTTGTGACAGAAAAGACCTCTAGTTTAAATCCTCTGAGTACGGTGGAAAATATGGGCAGAGAAAGTGAGGTTGGAATTGTGGGGTTTTATTCCAAGTCCAATTTTGACTCCTGAAATTCACAAGGAACGTTTGTACGATTTGTCAAACTTCTTACAATAATGTGTTAAATGTAACCTTCATGAGAGTTTCATTTAAAAAACAGTGATATCTACACTTCAAGGTAAATTGATTTGATTTTCTATTGCAACCGAGGTGCGGCTATCGCCGAACTGCCGAGCTTCTACAGTAAAGCAAAAAAAAGACAAGAAGGCCAACTCTGCAGTGAATGTGTACAAATAATATAAATCATTCTCCATATAGCCTTCTTTTTTGATGATGCTTTAACTCATACTTAGACTGTTCTCTTTTATAATTTCCAAAGAGACGTTCAGCTAAACAAAATGACTCGCAATATTCCAAAATGACTGATGGCACAAAATGAAAAACATTTAACATAACATTTCGGACATAACCGAAACCCTTTGTTGATGAACATAACACAAAGGCATTTTCCAAAATGTATTGTAAAAAGAGCTTTTTGTAATGCCACTTTTAATGCTACTGGCTTACCTGCGGAGCAGTAGTTTGGGGTGGTTCTTGCTCTCCAGGTTGCGTTCTATTAGATCTGAGAGCAGGTGTTTGAGGATGTCTGTGGCGTACTCCAGCCGGCCCTGCAGAGCAGTCATGATGAGCGAGGCAACATAACCGCGGTCACGCATGGAGAAGGAGCGCTGCAGCTCCAGTGTACGGATGAATGTCAGCAGGAAAACCTTGTTATTCACCAGCTGAGCAAACTGCTTCAAGGCTTTCTCCACATTCGCCTGTCCGCTCCCCGGCACCTACACGCATCACGCATTTTTGCACACACAAAAAGACACACTTGCTCATTAGATGATGCTCACTCAAGGATGAGAAAAGTCATAACATAGATGGAGGAACATGACGACAGAATGAAATATATACAAAAATTCTAAGAGACCATCAAAGCATAAGTGCACCACAGATCCACTGGTGTGGTTACAGACTCATCCCAGTAGCAGTGACGTAACCCTCATGTGCAGGCCCTGACACGTCCATCCCCACTATGAAAACTTTGATTAGTTTCTAAATTTATGAAGAAGTTTACCAAGAAAATACTTAAACTAAGCTTCATTTTGCAATAAATAATTACTTCAATGAAAAAGTCTGGATGTTTAAGCTATAATCAGAGAGGCTCTTTAGAACAGAGATCTTTGTGACCATAATAATGGCTTGATTAAAATAACTATAATTGGCGGCAGCAGTCCAATTTTAACCTTGAGTACCTGACAAGTTGTTCTACAAATAATAGAAAGGCAAATGGTCCGTCATCAGAGTTTCTTTAAAATTAGGTAGAGAGTGCTTCAGAATTAAACCCTTGAGATCAGGACAACAATAAAAACAATCTTGGCCGTGTCGAAGAAAAATTTAAAAACAGGCTTCTTGAGTTATGATGAGACCAAAATCAGAACAAAACAAATCCTACCCGTGTAAAAATAATGCTTAGGGTATTTGTTGATAAACTGAAATGTAGATCTATTTGTAGAACCTCTGTACTGCATCCTTCAACATCCAACTTATTGATTCACAGGACTTTGAGGAAGAAATATATAAACCTTTGACAACCACATTTTACTATTGTGATGTAAAGTTTATGATGAAAAAAATAGTATTAACTGTTTGGGATCAGGTGTAGAAAAATAATTTGTTAGTTAAAGTTAAGAGTCAGAGACCAAAAAAGTTTGACTCAAAATAGCTGCATGACTGAGACTAAAGGAGAGTGCAAAGTCAAAATAAAATCTTCTCACAAGCTCTTCCAGCTGGAATGGACACCATAAAACAAACAGACCTCAGACCACAGTGAATAGACTGACATTTGCTCACACCGCTCTGTTCGACGGTAGTTTGACAGCACTTGCCAACAAGCCAAAATCAATTTGGTTTGGAGTACACTGGAGCCTTAAGGTCAAGATATCAGAAAAATGGTTGAAACAGGATTCAAGCACTGCAGCCTTTCTTCAGAGGTTACTTACCTCCAGCTCTCTGAGCACAGGGTGATCATCGATGCCGGGGAAGAGAACCCTCATAGCGTAAGTGCGGTAGTCCAAGTAGGGGATGCCTGCTCTGTCCAGATCACTCGTTAACTCATTGATGTCTGTCTGCAGCTCTGCAAAAGCTGCGTATGACAGAGGTGTGCGTTAAATACTTCACCAAACATTTTGTAACATCTATCTTTTAAGCTATTCATCACAGTAGACCTAAGAAAGTATTTTCCTTTCTCAACTGTTTCTGATAAACACTTATATATATATGCTCTAAGAACTGTGAAACAGTAACACTATGACAAAGAGCGATGAGTTTGGGAAGCATAACTTCATATAAAGTTTGACAAAATTTTTATATTTTGAAGAGAGTTTCCTGACATTTTTGGACTCACTTGTCTGTAAAAGGTATACAGGCTATACTGTACCTTACGCTTTATATTCAATTTTGGGTTTGTTAATTATGGGTTTTACTATATAAAGATAGAAAAAGAACTGAGTTTTGACAAAGTTTGGTTGTTACTTTACTACAACTCAAAATACGGGTATCTTACCCCCAAATCTTCAGAGCTTTAAAGTGACCCATAGCTAGCTCTCATTAATGACCATTCAGCTGGTCTTTCAATCATTTCCCAGCCAACATACAGTATATAAGTAAATTAATCTTCATTCAAAGAAATCATTTTGTAACAAAGCCACCACAAACATCAGACAAAACATCAAAAGATGCTCAAAAGCTATAATTTAACTACAAATTAGAGTTCTTTTGGGAGTGTGAGTTTAATGAAAAAGACTTTACTATAGTTTAATCTCTCAGATCAGTCTCACTCACCCTCCTTGCACTCCAGAGCCACTCGGGATTCCAGATTGTCCATCTGCATCTGCAGGCGCTTCAGAGTGAGGTCGTTCTCATGTGACTTCTGTCTGTAGGCCAGTAGGACTATAATGACGATGATGAGGAGCAGCCCTCCTCCAGCTGTGATGCTGAAGATGGCAGGAAGGGTGAGCAAGCTGTCAGAGCGGATGTGAACCTCTCCTGGAGAGATGTGGAGTCCTCCTACTTGGACCTGGATAATAATAATAATAATAATAATAATAATAATAATACAGGCATAAACAGTATTTAAAAACAGTGTTGAAAATGCTCAAATAAAATAATTACTAATAAAAAAGGCTGGATGTTACTGAAGAATTCATTTGGTATATACAATGGAGATATGGACAATTTTCGCCTTTGAAGAAAACAATTTCTAAAAGTTCCAGGCACACAGCTTAATTTTCTTTTGACAGCTCTTTTCTCATTATTTGCAAGAGTGCCTGTCAATAATTCTGGAGGGCAATGTGCTGTAATTGGGAACCTACCAGACCATGAGTGACAGACAATAACAAAAGCCAGCAACTAACTGAAAGCCTGCCGGTGACCCACAAGCACAGCGATGTGCAGACAATCACTGACCCACAGACAGTGACCCACATCCATGCAGACAGGCAATCAGATGCACAGACGGACAGAAAACTGCCGGATAGACAGAAACACTTTTAGACTGACCAGGACTTTGTGCTGCCCGGTGAGGTTTGGTGGCTCACAGAGTAACTGAGTGTCAGACACAGTGAGAGAACAGGGCGTTTCTCCAATCAGTACTGTGTAATTCAGCCTGGCTCCACCAGATGCAGATGGCACCAGGTTACGTCCCTGCAACACAGTTAGAGAAGCAATTTACAAAACTACAGAAAATAACAATATATCGCATAGAACAAATTACACACCAAAAGTAAACAGTTATTGATTGGGATCTTAACAAACAAAGGTCTGGTCTAAGGCATCAGGTGAAAATGTTTTTCTAATTATATCCACTGTGCGGTAAATACGCAGTACACTTCTCTGTAATATCAGTGTAATGTTTTTACGCCATTTGAATTTTCTCTGTTGTTTTTAAGTTTTCTGTTGTGTTTATTTCATATGTGTATTTTAAACCCAATAAATTATTTCCATGCAATTTTGGACCATTAGTATAATTACTGTAATCAACAATCTTAGTGAATTCATCAGTGCATTCTACACTAAAAGCCACTGAGTCATGGTTTGCAGGAAGTCTGCTAAATTATTTTACCTAACAAAGGCAGATTGCTTCAAGATGCAAACCAATCTGCCATGCTGTTCCTCTGTGACAAACGGAGCAAAAGATGTGCAAGTGCACATGGTGAAAAAGTGAAAGGCAGATGGAAAAATATATTCCACAAACTACACCAAGTGGCTGTCCTCTTTGTGACAGGAAAGACAGGAGTTCAGAGAGAAATGTAGTTTTTTATAAAAACTCTGCTAGTTAAAGAAGCATGAGATAAAGCAGACTCTGCCACTTGTGTCCGCTATTGTGTTGTTTGTTTAAAACATGTGCAGTAAAGCATTCAAATTAATTTCATCATAAAACATTTTTAGAAATATTGTGTGCACAACATTATGTGATCAGAATTTCTGTCAATGCCAGATAGAGTCTATAACTATCTATTATAAGAAAATCAATAAAGAAACCAGAATAGCAGGAGCAGGTCAGATCTCCTTTGACGTACTTTGAGTATGATTGGAGCACCAGGTTTCTGCTCGAGAACACCTGATAGACTGAGGGGTTCCAGGTAGGGGTTGGGGTAGTAGACAAAGCTTGTGTTGTTGTAAGTCAGAAGAGCTTGGACATTGTTGAAGACAAAGCCAAACTCGTCCACGTGTTTGATCGTCTCCTGGTCTGCTGTGTACTCCGCTTTCAGAGAGGGTGCAAAGCAGCTGATGGTGGTTGTGTTCAGCACTTTGCACACCTGGAGAGGAATCAAATCAGGTGTCCTAGTTACACATGTCAGAGTATATACAGTACCCATAGCTAGACATTGTGTGTGAAATATTACAGAAACCAGACTACATATAATTATACACATATTTCATGGTTTAATGGCATACAGTGTTTGCTGCATGACTAGTAATTGCATAAATTATTGAAAGACATGTCGAAACCCCAACCAGAAATTCATGAGTCACTCATGAATTCATGACATTTTATCCTCATACATGTATTTGGTAAGTAATGGTCCAAAGTTTAAAAACATTTAAAACTTCAAACAATAGTTAATTTCACCACATGTGAATACATTAAGGCAATAAATTAAGGGCCCCTAGATAGAAATAGAATAATCTTTTCAGTCATATTTGAACATTGAGATGTGTATTTTGTGGAGCTTTTTTATCCTATTCAATTTGTGTATTAACATGAATATACTTATGCTCTCTGTGGTATTAACCTACATAACCTTAGATTAAGGATATCTATATTTCTGTCTGTTATTTATTAGCTGTTACGGTATTTACCTCCTCCCATCCATATGTTCAACAGTCTGCTCTTCTTCCTTCTGCCTGTAAATGTATGCCAGCTGGTTTGCCACTACAATTGCTACAGTACTAAATTAAAGGCAGAGATCTGGGTCATATGTTAAAGCAACATTATGTAGTATTTTTATCTTAAAATAACAGCTTCAAATTAATTTTGATGGTACGCTGACTTGTAATAGGGTGAATAAGGTCACTATCATTGTCTCTCTTGGCCATGGGAGCTTTCTATGGCACGATGTAACATTGAAATCCCCTGTGTTTTACTTATTTGCGTGAGCGAAGAGAGAGCTAAAAGGATGCAAAAATGACAGATGCTGAGCCAAGTTAAGTTGCTTAGTCGCCCGCCTCCAGCTCAGCACCTGCGCTGCTCTCCACCACCTGTTATTTTATGGTAGCAAAGCTATGTAATGTTGCTCAGTCACTCGCTGCTAGCTATAAATCTTGAGTTGATTTTGGCAAACTTAGTTGATAACACACTTGGACATTGGTAATGTTAAAACATTACCAACAATTATCCTGCTAGTGGAGAGCCGCACCACTGTCATGCCGGAACCAGGCGAGCGGGCAACATAACTGGGCTCAGCAGCCTATACAGACATATTAGCTAATAGCAGAGGCAAATGGACCAAAGAGTATGTTGACTGAGGAAGCTAAGAAGAGAAGGAGGGGCCAAGCAAGAGGCTTTGTGGAATAAGAGACAAGCGTGCAAGATGGATGCTGACATTCTTTCTGTTGGACTAGTAAGTAATATTGCTATGTCTTGTGTTGTCGCACTTGCTTGATGTTTGGCTGTGTAAGCAAAGTTGGTGACTTGCTAGTTTTAATGTAATCATAACAAATGCATGTGTACAGTTGTTCTAATTTATGACAGTAGTGAATTACACTCTAAAAAGGTAGGGGTGCCAAATTGCACAAACACATCATCCATAATGTTGCTTTAATAGGAAACGTTTTAATCTGTTTTGAAGCCATGGTTCCTGCATATCAACCAGTACATGCGTCTCATATGAAGCCAATCATTTGCTCTTTTGAAGGGGTTAATTTAAAATTTTTAAAAAAGCCACAGGTCTTTGTCACTACTGTTATTACATATTGGTACTTTATCAATAACCAGGAGCTCTCTGAAATTGGCATGTGCCTTGTTTTCTTCTGCAGCTCTTGAAAATCCTTTTAAATTTCAAGCAGATCCCATAAATTCCCCTAGCTTCAGGACAATTTTTAAGCTTCAGTTTTTATCTAAGTTTTCACAGTAAGTTGTTTCAAGTCAATTAACAGCTTTTGTGATTCAAAACATTTGAAAGCAATTCCAGTTATGTTTTTGATAGAGTATGTGCGATAAAGAGACTGCCCTCATTAAATTTACCAATGACCCTCTTTTAGCAACTGATTCAGGTTAAAGTTCAGCTTTAATCCCTTTAGATCTCAGTGCTGCCAATGACATTGTAAACCATGCAGTTTTAATTGACTGGCTCAAAGTCCGGGCTGGCATCATTAACACACAATTTAATTGGCTCAGGGCATACCGCTCACACAACATTGTCTACAGAAATAAAAAACTCCTGTCCTTCATACACATTTCATTTGAAGATCCCGAATTCCTCATCTTGGTTCTCTTTCACATGCTTCTACTTTAGCAATATTATCTTTAGATATGGTGTTTCTTTTCATTGTTGTGCCAACAGATGTACCCTCTGAAACCCAGATACACATTCCTCTTTAAAGGAATTCCTCTATGATATACAGTATATATTTTGTGCTGTTAAATGAAAAGTTTGAAATTGTTGCCGCAGTAATTTTTGAGACTGACCTCAACTTTCTTCTACTCAGCTGAGAGCTATTTTTTCCCAAACAATTTCCCATATATTATTATTTATTGGTCTAGAAAAAGCCATTTCATGTTGCCTTCATATTATATTTACCTTGTAAACCTTGTATAGCTTGTCTTCTGTCTTTATTTTGGCATCGATAAAAAATGTCTTTAAAATCTTTACCTTACATCGTACAAGAAAAAGTCTTATCATTCGATTTCTGGAATTTCTTCACTAGTTGCGTGTTTAGAATGATATGATAGATTGATATTTTAGTTCATATTGATCTGTTACAAAGTTGAGTCAAAAGTTCCCTCCAGAAGCTTCGACCCTCTTTCAGCACAACTCGCAGCCTCAGATCCTCAGGCAATTCCCTTACTGGTCCAAAGTGGAAAACATGAGGCTAAAGGTGACTGGACTTTTGCCATCGGGGCGCCAACACTTTGGAACAATCAATCACTTTGAAGCAACCTGCCTAAGGAGTTCAGACAAGCAGAATCAGCACCATAAATCACCTCCCAAAACTGAGTTGTACTTTCAAGTTTTTTAAATCTCATTTTAGAATGAACCTCTATATGCAAGCTCTTTCTTACCTCTTTATTTATATATGGCTTCATTTTTACGTCCACAGCAATATTGACATTTTAAAAACTACAGCTTATTAGATTGTGCCATAGTATTTCAGTCTCTTGTTGGTTAATTTGCTCTCCTCTGCAGGCTGTTTAGTACCGAGACTGATTGTTTCTATGACTTTTTTCACACTTTAGTAGTTCTGTAGGCGTACAGTATTTTATACTTACACCTTAACCAGCTTTAAACCAACCTGTCAGCCTATCATGAGTAAAAATGTCAGTACAGATCAGCATATAAAAAACAAAAAGTAGTAAATTGACCACAACACTAGATCTACCTTGTTACAATTGTAGTAAACTATCAATAAAGAACAACTTTACTGTGACTTTTTCTATCAGTTTGAGTAACCAACATAGATGAAGATGAGTGCAGTATATCAGCAGATGTCACACTCACATTGACAGATTCATGGCCGGCATATTTGACTCTGACCCGTGGCTCCTGAACTACATCCAGGTTGGTTCCAGTCACTGTCAGGGTAGTGTGTCCACTGTTTGGAAGGAAGGAACAAGTTTATTCATAAGCAACAAGAATTATTAGTCAAACACACTTGTACGTACCCAAGCACACCACATCAGCTCCAAGTAGCGTATATATGAATGCAAACTACCTTTTAATTAGATTTAATTAGAGTGATGCATGCAGAGGGATCAGTCTTTTTAACATACGAATCCAACATTTTCCAGAGAAACTGCATTAATGCAGGTTTGACGAAGTATAGCTGGCATGGTAGCTTGTTCTTTGTTATTGGGCAGAAGAGCCAGATCAAACGGCGAACCAGCTGGCTGCTATTTTATATTCATCCATGACTGTGAGGCTGGCATAGCATGAATACAGGTGCAGCTTGTTTACATATCTGCACTTGATATGATTAAAATAAACAACACTCCCTAAGCTTTGCGTAACCTGTGCTGCAGTGTGATCTTAGAAAACTGAAGTATGGAAAATAGAGAAGGAGAGACAAAGACAGAAAGAATACAACAAAGAATGAGGAAAATGGCTTTAATAAACTGGCCAGTCTAGTTAGCCTGACACAGTGCCAATCCTTCTCTTCTCACACTTCAAAGGGTACCTAAGCTTGTAGGGCCACATAGTGGGACTGCACATTCATGATGAGGGCTCTTGATTGCAGCTCCACAAAGCTCCTCCTGTCACTAGGCTGAGGGCCAGGGTGTCTTTCTGAAGTCTAATCTGCAGGGACGTAGTGCTGGGTAATCCTACCCGAAACCAAATTAAGTGCCATCTTTTATTTAGTTGAATACAGGTAACGCACCTTTCAGCTGTGATAGATGCTCATTCTTGTAGAATCCGTGAAGAGTGTTTGCAAATTTGGTCACCTCGTTGTGATCCCTGATTAGATATCGTTTAACCTTGTTATAACTGACTACCACAACACGTTAGTTCTTTGCATCACTCTCTCTGCAACCCTGACTGTCTCACAGTCTCACAGATTGCCTGATTATTGTGCTGCCAGAAAGGTAAACTAAAAGTATCTATGTCTATGTTTGGCTCAGCATTCACTGCTACTGAGTACAGACTGTATGTGTAAAATAGAGCATATGTGCTGCAGTGCTGAAATTTGCAAAATTGCATTAATTATTACACGTTTTTCTAATCAAAACTAACACCATACTTGCGACCCATAAGCATCTGAGAGCCCTGTAGGAATGCCAAATTTGTCAGCAGTTTGCTGGTGACAATCATTTGTTAATTGTAGCGCTGTTCCTATTTGTCTTTTACCACCATAACCAGTACTCACTTTGCTTTTGTGAGATAGGCCCTAAAATTTGCATGCCCGTGGACTGTGTGAGGTAACAAAATCACAACAAAACCCCCTTGATCAAGCAAACTCCACGCAGAGAGGGCCAGGGAATTAACCTCCATCCTCGTGAGGTATCAGTGCATACGTGTGGCTGGTATCTGTGTATATGTAGTACTGTTTGCTTATTGTTACCTGGTAATACTCCACAAGGGCTCAATGCGCTGGACTGTTGGGTCTTCTATGTACTCAAAGGCCAGACTCCCAGGAACTTTGGCCCGGTCGACACTCAGACTGACCTGCACTGGTCCGGCTCTCGTCACAGATGGCGCAGAGAAGCAAACAATCTCCGCCATGGTCCTCCTGGTGGGAGTACCAAAGAGTGATTTATTCAAGCCTTTGATTGCAACTCTGCCCACTTGCCGTTCGCAGTGGCAAATCCCTGACTTCATGCACTTATGAGCCATGCCCAGTACTATAAGGGGAGAGGATTCATTATAGACTGTCCCATCTCTTCCTCGTTACAGACACATTAGGGATGGAACACTGTAATTAGAGGGTGCTCTAGCTAATGGCTTCCTCGCCTCACCCTCCTGACTCCTACCATGTGAGGCATTTTGAACTTTAAATAGATATCTATAAATACACAGAGAACAATACCTACCGCTGTGGCTTTTATCACCTCCTCACAAATCATTATTAAGACTTTTCATTTAACACAAGGACACTTAATTGTATCTAAAGTGTGGTTCTTTAAATAGAGTGATCTCTTACTGTGTTTCATAGATGTTAGAAAAATCTTTCATATTGTGTTGAAGCAGTGTCACTTTAGTCTCTGTGAATCTGGAGTCTTTAGGAATATAAGGTTAAAGAGGACCTATTATACTGCATTCCCAGCCCTATATTGTAGTTCTGTGACTCAGCATCTGTCTGAAACAAGCTGTAGATGCTTCTGTTTAATATGAACATATGACATTGTAACATTATAGAAATGCTAGAAAATATTAAAAATGCATAATAGGTCTCCTTTAAGATAACAACAAGGGGTTATGTTATCACCAGACTCACCTGTACAGCTCACAGGTCTGATTACCAAAGTACACGTTAACAGTGCTTCCAGCACCCAGATTCTCCCCAACAATGGTGACCTTCGTGCCCCCGGATTCAGGTCCTCTGCCTGGGGTCAACGCCAGCATCGAAGGGGTCTGTGGAGAACCAAAATGCATTAATAATTGTCTGATTCTGAAAAGTCCTGTTCTGCTGGCCTTGGCTGAATAAACCACTGTGGAACTAAAAAATTAACAAACCTAATGGGTACACTAAAGAGATTCTTTTCAAAAAGAAAAAGTTAATAAAACATATTATTAAATCGAAATTCTTTCTGACTTGAGTGCAGTAAAGCACATGTTTATTTTTATTTGCCACACACAGTGAACAAACCATCAGAAACACCTTCGGAATGCACAATCTATGTTGTCTTTTTCTGGCTTCCTCTCCAGTTCATTATTGCAGTGGCTTGAGTAGATCAAATCGCTTGTTGGCTTTCACCTGTAATCACATGTTCAGCCTAATTCACTGCAAACACAAACAGATGTATTTCAGAGAATTACCACAAAGGAGTAAAGCTGGGAGGACTGTGCCCGTAGTTCTGGTCTGCATTCCCCAACACACAGCTTCACTGGACCTGGTGAACTGCCTTTAGGAGCCTCAGCCATCTCACACACAATCCTGTCAAGATATAAAAACATGTGGGTGCACTACAACACAGACATGCAACAGATCATAACACAAGTAATAACAGAGGTCAGGCACTCACACACACAGAATCACTGCACTGTATCAAATTTGTTATGAATTGCACTGGCTGAAGATGGTCTCTGCTGGCCAGCGGGATTGAAGCAGACTTTCATAGAAGTTGTGGGTCAGTACAGAGGGCCATCTTTCTTCCTAATGGGAAACCTATAACAGCAATATAACTCAAATGATAAACTACACCTCTCCCCATCTCCAGCACGATTGCCACCCACCATTACCTCTGGTTGCCATAACAACATAGGGGTTTCTTTAATAAATCAGCATTTCCTGTCAGGTCAATAAGATAAAGTGTGCCATGAATAAGTCATTATAGCAACTGACCCCATGCTGAAATTAATGGTTGTAACAGCTGTAATGTCATGTTTTAAAGCACTGTGTGTGCCAAATGAATGGCCCTGCTGAATGCACTGCTCTGCGCAAGAAACTCTGTTCCCCAATACAATAAGAGCACCCAATGAATCGTCCCTGCCCAACCCTTCTATTCATACATCACGAGAGTTTTCCAATTTTCTGCTGGCATGTTCTTTTCTTTTTCTTTTTTTTTATTTCTTACAAGGATATAAATAAAGTCCCTGCAGCCTGAGCTCAATCGCATTACATGGCTGTGAGAGAAACACATGGCTAACAGATTGTCCCTCCAGTCAGCGACATGCAGCGCATTTCAATTACAGCTGTGCCGACAGTCTCATAACGACAACGACACAAAGACTGTCTCTTCCTTTGGCTCTGACTGCACCAGAGCAATGCAAAGCCCCCCACACAATCCTACAACCTGATGAGGCATCACTGGGCTCCGGCTTATTCACAGACTGTGCTAGTGTCAGTGAGAAAAATAGTGTGTGAGAGAAAAAGAGATTGCATGTGTTTATTTTCGCGGGTGTGTTTGCATCTGTACAGTATGTCTATGTACAACACAGTATGAATCCATGTGTGTCCAGGCACAGGAGGGGAGGAGGCTCTCTTACTGTTCAGCAGTGATGTATCCCTCCTCCTGTGGGGTACATTGCACACCTGCCACCTCCACATTGCCCTCCAGCTCAGAGAATGACAGACCCAGGTTCAGGCCCTGGATGGTGACCTGTGTGCCCCCTTCCAGAGGTCCTGCAACTGGGCTCACCTACATAGGAATGAAAAGAAAGTGAGATGAAGAAAGGATTTGATGTACAGTGGAAGGTTCTCTGCCAGTTTTGTCCACATAGAATAAAAACTGTAAAACCAGCAATAAAAGGACATTTTCTGTACTATATTGTTTTTGTAAATAGATTTTTCATTTGAAGGAAATAGTATACATATCCCAGAGTTTCCCATGTTGGAGAATAATGTGCCATAGAGAGAATTAAATGTAATTAGCTACATTTTTAGTTGCGAGTCATGTGCTAATATGAACAAAATAATTGCAGTGCTTTTACAAAATATCCAGAGTTTGATGCTTTTGTATAAAAATGCAAGCCCTCAAGGTGTATATTAGTTAAAAAAAACCTAAAATCTTAGCACAATCTAGAAGTGTTAAGTCAAAGGCAAGTGAGCTTGCTTTAGAGTCTCAATTATTTTTCAAAAATCTAAAATAAGTCCAGTTGCCTTTGAATCAGCACTTCCACATGATCCGACTGACGGAGAGTCTTCACAGACACTTTCTGTTTAATCTCTGTGTAAACATTAAGCACTGTAAATTTACCTTAAGTCTGTGTGAATTGCATAACTCGCTTACTGATATGGATAATTCAAAAAACCTTTATATCTGCTGTAATTCAAAACAAACTTTGATGAATAATGCAGTGTTTAACAAAGCCTATTCACAGTCCTTTCCAGTGTAAAGTTAACCATCCCAGCAGGAAACCTTTGGACGTGCAGAGCAGAAGGAGTCCAACACTCCTTCAACGCCCGAGCAGCACTCGGTAGTTGATTCATTCTGCTGCAGCTCCTTCAGAAACACCAATAATGTGACAGGGACATCAAAGGCTTGCGGCTCTTTGAAGTGGAAGAGTCTTGCATCTCTGTGCCTGACCCATTGTGCCTCATTCAAGAGAATGAACAGGAGTTTGTGACATAAAAGATCCATCACCACTCTCTAAACAAACTGAATTCGTTTAACTGTCAAGCACTTAAGTTATTCAGTGGAATAAAATCTGAGATCGTCTCAGGTAAACAGACACTTCGATGGGAAACTGGAAGGTTGCTACAGATTGCTACAAAAATTGGTTTATACAAGCTACCAGAAATATCCAACAAGATGTGTGGGCATACTGTTGTCTGCTACTAAGAGGTACAGATACGTAGATGGATGGTTGAAGAGATAGATTTGTGATTGGACATTTATGGGCAGTGGGCTTTTGTTAAAAGCCTTTAGCCCCTAAGCTCTTCCAGAACTCAAATGGCAGTTTCTGGAAGTAAAAATAATGAATACTCTCCACAGGAAATTTGTTTTTTTTGCTTACACTATAAATGCATAAGAATAAATCTATGGTCTATTATCCTGTAGAGGCCATAAGTCAATATCATGTCAACTTGAAATAGTGTTTATATCAGATGTCACTGTTCCACGGTGATGGTACCATGGTGGCGCTCATTTTCTCAGTTGGCAGCCAGAACGGAGTGAAATAAAGTAATATCAGCTACTGTAACAATCTGCTTCACTTTGGTTTCTCTGTCAGACAAACACAGCACTTGAAACAAGATTCTTTCCATCTTCATCTTAAAAGTTTCTGAACAGATTACTACAATGTCATGATTGGTTTGAACTGGCTTGCTTAGTTCAAGACTTATATTTTTTATTTGTCCAATTTTCTGAAATTTTATAAATTTTAATAATACAAATGGAACAATTAGTTTAAGAAATCCATTAATCCATCTATCGTTAACCGCTTATCCCGGTACAGGGTCGCGGGGAGTTTAAGAAATCCAAGCTTCTGAAAAAAAATACTATCAGAAACTACTTATTCTAAATGAGACTGCTTTCTTATAGCAAAAGATCACATCTTGTGTTTGTATAATTTAGAAATACTATATGTTTAAGTTCGGTGGCTTGGCTGGCTGACTGACTGACTGACTGACTGAGTCACTGACTGACTGACTGAGTTACTGACTGACTGACTGATTGACTGACCTCAGTAATGCGTGGGTTGGTACACTTGACATTCCTGGCAGAAAGGTTCAGCCAGCGGCTAGCGTAGGGGGAGATGGGTGGACAGTGCTGCTTCATGGTGCATCGGCCCTCGCCGCTACACCAGCCACACTGGAACTTCCTCTCTGCCCGCAGACACATGCCACAGCTGTCGCGCTGGGCGCTGCACTTGTAGAGGTGCACTGTGGAATAACACAAAGGATATCTGGTCACTTAAAATCAAGTAATTGTCAATATTGATGTGGGTTTTTTTACTGCTATTAATAGGTTATAAAAGCAAATGTCAACAATAAAATTCTGTAAAAATACAACTAAATTTAGACCAGCAGGGAGTGCTGTTACAATTTGATCAACTGTTCAAATGAAATCAAACTGACAACTGATCGGAACACATTCTTAAATATTTGGTATTTACAGTCAACTTCAAAAACATCTGGCTATAACACAGGACAGTCAACTTGTGAATTCAATAAAATTCTTAAAAAGCTAATTAAATTAAATTCCTTCTTCTAAGAAAAAAAGATGCCAAAGTAATCCAATAAACCTTTCTTTGAAGTCTGTTTGGTAACACTTTCTATGAAGGTCATCGCTATAATGACTTATGCATATATTTATAACACGATATAATTTGTCTATAAGACATAACACTTAAGTCATTAAAAAAATAAATTCTAATTTATTAATAATTCATATTGATATAAACTGGTATTAGTATTAGTTATAAAACATTAAATCAAAAGTTCATAATACATTATGAACTTTGCTAAAGCGCCTAATGCATGTTTGTAAGTGATTATAACAACTGTTATAATGTCTTATGGACGCATTATATCGTGTTATAAATATATGCATAAGTCATTATAGCGCTGACCTTCATAGAAAGTGTTACCGTCTGTTTCTTACATCCTCTCCCCTGTAAGTAGCCTGTATTTATGCCCATATAAAGTAACTTACTTGAGTAATGACAAGGTCTGTTAAAATCCATGGCCATCACTATGTATACCCTTGGTTACGGGGATGTATTTATTGTACAACCCACAATGACGACTGACAAACACCTTTTCTTGCATGATGATGGAGAGGAAACCAAGAGCAGTCGTGACAGCCAAACTGAGCAAATATGAAGATTCACCCTTCACTCGTGCGGGCACACAAGTGATTAGGTGCTTTTTGATAACACTCCCTGCTATTGTGAACTTTCTCTCAAGGCCCATTGGGAGCCTTGAAGTGATATGACCCATCTATCCCCTGTGGATTGAGTGCTTTACACTTCTCTGGCCTGGCAGTGATGGATGGCAGAGGCACCTTTAATCTTCTCGGGATTGTCGATGATGAAATTGCCGTTCCATACGATGGAGAGGTCTACTGCCAGGTCACTGATCTTCACACCCTCATACATGTACTGAAAAGCAGAAACACCGAGTGAGGGAGCTTGCGGTAAGTGGATCAAGAGAGAGAGAAAGTCAAAAGAGAGATAGAGTTAAAAAAAAAAGAACATACAGAGAAAGACAGAGAGGGGTAAAATAAGAGAATGAAAGGGCAGCAGAGAGACAAGGCTTTTAACCATCTGTCATTTTTGCAATGGTTGTCTGCTCCTCTCCTCTTTGACATGTAGGGACGCAAACCCTGGCTGGGGTGGCTGATCATCCACATCTGAAGAAAATGGCCTTTTCATTCATTGTCACGGAGTAGCAAGGTATGCTTTGCATCAAAATTTTGCCTCTAATTTGCATTGTGCAACAAAATTCACAAAGATCTCCTGTATTAATCCCGAACCTGTCTGGAACGTCACATTTATGCTTTGTTAACACCTAGGATGTTAGTCTGACAATATACAGCTTACAAGACAAGGTCATATTGAAGTCTTGGTTTCCATCTTTTTCACTTTAGCCATACAACAATTTTCCTTTCCTTTTCTTTCATCCTTCCTTCCCTGTCAATCTCCTTCTTTCTCTCACATGCTTTTCCTCATTTCTTTCACTTTCCCTTGCCTCTGCTTTCTCGTCAGTATGCTCAACACCTCGGGCGGTATTCACTGATGTACCCTATGTACCTTGCCTACACAGCATCCAAGCTATCTGCCTCATTTGACAGCTGTGAGACTCCCACTGGGAGTGTTCGAGGTCATACCGAGCTGTTCTGGCACTGCACGCTGGTGCTATTGAAGCGCAGTGCCGTGACACGGTGGCTGACACCCTGCACGTGCACCACGCACTCGTAGCCCCGTTGGCCTGACTGCGGCTGGGGCAGGTTTCGGGCCCTGAGGGTGATGGGTCGGACCTCGCCGGCCGGAATGAGAATTTCTCCAGAGTGAAGGAGCTGAGGGCAGTCCTGTGAAAACAACAGACAAAAGCAAAGATTTGTACCATTCACAGTAAGATGCGGATATGCATGGTGTAAATCCCACCCAGTATGGCACATGCCACACCATTGAAAAGGACCATTGAGGAAGAGGAGGGAACTGATGACAAGAGTCCAAATAAGTAGAAGAAAGAGGATAAATCCTAATGACTTTGATGATTCTGACTTTTCATGAAGTGCCATTAGCAGGTGAAAGTTTCAGTAAAATATCGAAAAATCTACTGGCACACACATTTGTACAGATATTCACAGCTCCTAGATGAATTCTAATGAATTTGGTGGTGATATCCTGACATTTCATAGCATGCAGACGTTAGCATTTCGCTCAAAAAGCCTCATAGAGTTGCCTCATAGATTTGCTAGCATGGCTGTAGGCTATATTTTTAAATCATGGATTGTGCTTTTAAGGAACAGATAGATGGTGCGCCACTGTAAAAGCTACACTTTAATCAGCTAATGAAACTAACACTGCAGTATATTTATGTTAATGTGAATGTACAGCACCTCTGAGGCGTTTACTCTTCCCTCCTGGAATGAACAGCTGCTGGGGTCGTGGGTGCACAGATTGCGGTATTTACACCAGTGGCAACGAAAAGTGCTGTTTACACAGGACAGACACCTGCAGGAAGAAATAAACAAATAACTACATACAATACTGAAAAATATGTTATAATACCTCCTGTATATTCAGTTACTCTGCATATACACGGAATGTAAAATAAAGATGAATCCCTTTTTCATTAGAGAATTAAAAGGGGAGACTCATAAAGGATTATAGCTTTCTTCTGAATTTATCTTATTAGTGTGTTTCATGGAAAGATCAGATGTCCAAAATTTATATGCATGAATGGTAGTCTTTTTGTTGTAGATGACAATAAATGTCCTTAAGCATGAAGTTTTGGCAGGAGAGTAACTATTCAAGTGTCCCTGACACTTAAAGCACTCTTAAGCAGTTGTAACAAATAAAAAGATGTAGTATATGTAACACGTTTCTTACAGACCCCTTGCTTTACATTTCTGAAATTTGACTGTAATAAAAACACCTACAAACCCATTCAAAATCTGGAATTGAAACACAATCATTAGAGAAGAATTGCATCTTTGGCTCTGATTCAGTCAACTGCAGTGAAGTGAGAGGTGAAGAGATGGGTGATGCACAGCTGTTGATATACTGAACAGAGCTATTAGAGAGCTTTAAATTGAACTTGGCCTATTTCCCTCAAAGTTGGTTCTCCTGAATTTGGTCATGAAATAAGATGAAACCATGAGGAATCTATAAAACCGCTAGCTGCAATCAAATACAGCGGCTACATATGCCAATAAATGTAGTGCAGCACCATTAAATTTAGATATTAATTAGCTGCCCAGGGCCAGTATGGACATAAAAACATGTGCGTGCATGTGTGCGTGTGTGAAAGAGAAAGAAATTTGGGGGGTTGGGTATTAATAGAGGTGGACTGGCAGGGAGCTGCAAACACTGGATAATTAATTATCAAGGGTGACGTTATGCGGAGGTTATGGTGGTAGTGGGGGGAGGAAGAGGTGCTGGATTAGGAGTGTGTCTGGTCTGAATTATTAATCACAGGAGTTCACAGGGTCACTCCACAGCTAATGGAGGCCGTATTGGTGTGGGGCGGATGTGATGAGCTTCCTACTGTTTCTCTCTAATGGTTTAATGTGGTTATATTGGGGCATTCATGTCGCGGTCAAAGAGAATTTTGAATAGGTGGCATGTGTATCCACTGTGGACTAATTTACTGGGTTTGGCTATGAATACAATCCTATCAATCAGATGTTCCCTCCTAGAGTGAACTTATTGTATATGCCCAAATCCAGCCTTTGTGTTCTCACGGTTCATTGCAGAGTATGTCAGTTCAAATCTCAGTAACACTTCAAAAAAGAAAGGACATGCTTATCATCTCTTAACTATTATTGTACCACTCACAGAAAGTGGACAATAAATGTCTTTTAAATAACTAATTCAGTATTATGTGATTTGGCCTTTCTGGAGCTTTGTGAAGTGTCTTGTTATGTTGCTGTGAAAACATATAACGTTGCTGATTTGCAGACTTGTAGGCTAATTGGCATTCATCCTAATAAGATCCACCTTTGTAGCAGTGTTTGTAATTGTTATTCAGATCGAAACATTCTTGTCATAGTTTACTGTTACGGTAGATACAGTTTACATTAGCATAATGGCTCAAAGTCAAAGCAGCCTCCTGCAGTCTGGAAGCTTCAATATAAGCTTAGGGGTAAAACAGATAAGCATTTAAATAAAGTCCTCTTTAATTTACATTATTTTATCTACCCTCAAGGCACCAGGGCAAGGCTAAAATCTAAAATGTCTTATGTCTCATACCTCACAACAAACTCTGGCAGGCCCCTTTGGACAAAGTCAAGACAAAAAGGGGTGTGTGAGGCTAATGCTTATCTATTTACGGGTCCTTGGGGACTGCTGGCCTACAGCATCGCACACTCAGTTGCACCAGCAACGCTGCTCAGTTACGAACACTGTGGGACGACTATGCAGTTTCTTGGTGTGAAGATGTATAAGTTATTGCATAAAAAGAGCATATATACTTTGGAAAATGTTTGTGTCTAAAAAGAAAAGAAAATTGAGTTTTAAGAATAATTGACAAAACATATGTAGTTGTTTGTATTTAAAGCTGTGAGCAATAAGCCCATAAACTGCCAGCTTAAGCAAAGTGGAAACAAACAGGCCACGGCAAATGCATCTTGTTGATTCTAATGAAACCTGACAGATTGAACTCAGAGGTTATCTAACAGCCTGATCTTAAGTGGAGTTGCAAACATCAGTACATCATTGCCCTAAATTAGGTTGTACTCTTCCAACTATTGAACAAATCAAAGGTTGAGGGGAGAAGAGTGAGGGGCGGTGGCAGCTGGACTCACGTTTTATGTGTGCTGCAGTTGTAGAACTTCACCTCTGTGCTGGCAACTGTTTGACCCGTCTCCTTTGAGTTCAGACGAAGCTCTACGCCAGCCCAGTCTGAGAGCAAGAGAGGGGGTTAGGGAGAAAGGAGAGGGATTGAAAAATATGTGAGAGTCGATGAGAGAGAGAGAACAGTGTGAAGAGAGGTGAGAGAGAGAGACAAAAAGGATGGGTGAAAGAACGAAAGCAATGAGCGAAAAGAAGAGGTCAAAATGAGAAAAAAAAATGTTAATACTTTTATCACACTTCTGTAAAGAGCCACCTGGTGTCTGCTTCTCTGCAAGGGCATATTGCTGTTGTCATGAGAAAACCTTCAGTCAGAAACTTCAATTAAGGGATTACTGTATATGCTCAGAGAAAATTCTACTGCTCCTTCGTACTTATCAAACTCGTTGGATAAACAAAAAATGCAAGGTGGTCAATCTGAAAAGAAGGCATTTTTTTGTGTCTGGAATATGGATATTTTAAGTTTTTCAACTCACATTGGCAACCCCCCTAAATCTGTATTTTCAGGCTGTGTTCTTTTACCATTAGTGCATAATTTCTTTGTTTTTACACATGATATCTGAGCTCATACCTTGTCCTTCTGGTATCTGAGGGACCTCCTTCCCAGCTGGGGACAGACACATGAAGCTGTTCCCATTGACACGACCCTCAACTTGGGCCTGCTGCCCAAATGAACAGGTGATTCCAGCAGAAAGGTCTGGAACGTTATTCACCTCCAGCAGCAGCTAAAAACACAGGAGAGAGAGAAGATTTGATGTATTGAATTTGAAACTGGCATGGTGCATTGGTAAATGTATTTCTTTAAAAACAGAGTTAAAGGTTCTACATAATTCAAAATTTTGGGAAACCTGTCCAAAGGGAAAAAAATCAGTTCCTCTTAAGCTAAAAGCCGTACAAAATCCGTACTGTATATATTTCAAAATTGACTCCAGGAAGTTACTGCTCCCATCCAGGTACATTACCCCCTGTAAAACTGTAACTTGTTGTTTTTACAGTTCTGTTTTTGTATGGATTAAACAAACTGGATATATCTTTATCTATAATTTGTCAGTTGCTGGTAGGCAGAGTTTGCTGGTAGGCAGAGTTTGTTACGTTTGGACATAGCCAGGCTACTTGCAAACTAATCGGCTACTGGCTCCAGCTAGATATTTAACAGAGATGCGAGAGTGGTTTTAATTCTCTCATCTTGCAAGAAAGCAAGTGTTAGAGCCATTACAATAGAGCAAGAATTAGTGCTTTTCCCGAAATGTCTAACTATTTTCTTGAAATAATCTTTAGTTGTTACTGTTCTTCACTCCTCTGTGCTCTTAGCTTTTGTAGAAAAACTGTTGAAATAAGCTTCTAGGAAATGTAATCATCATTTGGGAGATGCATCAGAAATGCAGACAGAGGAACTCACTGCCATAAAAGCAGCTCCAACCTCAGTTTTTCACATTTGTCTCACAGTAAACCAAAATAAATAGAGTGGATAGCCTACATGGAGAATCACCCTTTTCTCTCTCTCTCTCTCTCTCTCTCTCTCTTCACGTCTCACAAAACTAATCTTCTCTACCAGACTCATACTTACTGTACTGTACATGTGGCTGTACAAGGTTACTTTCAGTGATTGCTCATAAACATCGGCATTGTGAGTGGAGTGGCAGAGCAGTGATAGGCAGAATGATAAGCAGACTCACAGGAACACTATGTGCTGATACAGCAATGCTGTCCGGGTGAGCGATAACCTTCACACAGCGGTCAATGTCAGTGGCAAAACGGAAGGTCTCCTCCGCCCTCTGACACCGATCCCTCCTCGAGCACCTGTGGAGCAAGTAAAAGTGATCAATAGCGATGAATTATAGGCAGCAAACCCTCTGATTTTTAGCCATGCTAGCAGTTCTGTATAGCAATGTTGGTCTGTCCATCCACTACTTTGGTCCAGACTGAAATATCTCAATAACGTGTGGATATACATTTGGTACAGTCTCAGGTTTTATTTTAATCATTTGTGATCACCAAAGTTTAGTGCTAATTTGCAAGTGTTAGCTAAAGAAAGATGGTAAACGCAGCAAACATTAGAACTGTTTATCAGTTGAGCTTGTTTGCATTACCACTGTGGGTTAGCTTGCTGGCATTGGCATTTAGCAAAAATCACCACCGTGCCTGAGTGCAGCCTCACTGAGATGCTGGCATGGCTGTAGACAGGCATTTGTACATAAACAGCATATAGATAAAGCTAATGTCAAAACCAAAGTTGAGGTGATATCAGTCGTCTATATCGGACGGAATATGGACATAATATCTGATATTCATTTAAAACTGTTTCTAAAGCTGTTTAACACATTTTTAACTTAACCTCAGTATAGGATTGTGCATGTTTAGATTTAGTTTTTTAACATGGTCATCTCATGTCAGAGATTCCCAGTCAGATCTTTCCCTTTGCATTTATGCATTTCTGTAGAGCAAATTACACCAAGTGCAAAAGTAGAATGTAGTTTCAACTCCTAGATCCCAACAGGCAATTAAAAGTAAGAAGTGAAAGGGTCTGCACCATAGTGTGACCTTAGAATAATCTTGTAAGAGAGAAATGCAAAGTAAAAGTACATTTAAATTTATGACAAGGAGTAGAAAGGATTTATAAAACGTTTAGCAATGTGTCCAGTTTTAGAAATGGGGATTTGGTGTTGAGATAGTTTTAATGTGGTTTTATTGATACTGATATCTTTGAAAGAGGCATTATAGGAGTTAGGTCTGCAGGCTTCGTTAGTAACAGACAGGTTGTACTTAAGCATAAACACTGATTTGAAAAGAACAAGAGTTTCTCAGCTGTACAGTTAAAATTGTAATGGCAAACTAAGAGAGTATTTTGGCTGTACGCCTTTCTTTTAAATGTGTAATGCGCACAGCGAGGGGAGATTGTACTTAATACACTCTCAGATGCTGCTGAGGGGGTGGCACCTCCTGAGAGAGCTCAAAGAGCACCGAGGCCTCTGCTGTAATTACAACACAATATAAAGGCGGAATGAAAACGCAGTGACAGCTGTTGGTGGCTCGGCTCCTTGAGGCAGACCAGAGCCACAGGAGTATAGACAGTCACCTTCTGACCGCTCATCAGCTGAAGTGCCTTTGAAAGAAAACCCCCGGATGCCTTTCATCTCTCATCCCTTTTATTCACTGTGTTTTGTCTGATGGTGCCATTTGTTCCCTTTTCCTCCAGGCTTTGTACGTGTTCAGCTACGCCCCCCACACACTCTGTCAGTTAGGTGCTTTGGTGCACTGTGCCAGGGGTGGGAAAGTGAGATACTGAAAGAGGTCTACATGACACTCTTGGAGACTGATTCAGAGGCTTGGAAAAGACCCCAATCTGGGTTTAATAGACAGAAAAATAAAGTAGCCTAATTCTGCAATGTGAGGGATCATGATTCGCTTTGGGTTACTTGAGGGGAAAGCAGTCTATCTATTCACTGATAAGTGTAAGGCATTAATTTAAATAAACAGCGTAATGGGACTTGCACACAAAGTCAGCATTCAGGAAAAGCGGAAAAACAACTTTTGAGGTAATTTAGATTTAGAACAAAAAATGTTTTCTTCTCTCTTCATGGGTGATTTGATAACACAGAGAGCTGCAATTTAAATAATGCTGCTCATCATCAAGATATTGCTAGCTGAAATACAGACGTCATATGATGAGGCAGGGGTAAATCCCTGGCTGAGGTCAGCTTCAAACACAGCAGCTGGTTTGGAAACACAGGGTTTTAATCTCTTGAATCCCCTTTGCTCCATATCGAGGTATTATGCAAGCTAACCTGGGGGTCAGATAATTAAGATGGAAGAGATAAGCTTGCTCTGTTAGGTCCAAAATGTTCCCCGGGTATGTAGAGGTGTAGTTTGTACATCATTCCCTCCTCCATTAACACCAGTCGCCCTCCCGCCTAACAGACAATAAAATCTGGTAGCCATGCAGTTTCTGCCGTCCTAAATATAGCGCTATTTAAGAGGGATCACACTGTCCAACAACCACTTCCAGGTTTTCTGTTTGTCCAGCCAGCTGTTGATAATGGTGATCTCCAGGGAGCAAAATAAGTCTGTTATATTAAACTGCACATATCATATGACCATGTGCTTAACCTTAGTTATAGCTTCATATAAACTACGAGCTGTTTAGTGAACAATTTTAAGTATTTCAATTAAATTTTATAGCGCCAAATTAGACGTTATCTTAGGGCACTACTAGTATTGTTTTAATCCCTCAGCTGTGATGTGTGTGTGTGTGTGTGTGTGGGAGAATGGGAGAAGATAAAGGAAACAGACTCACATGTTATACAGGACACACCAGCCACAATGGGGGTCACCAGAGCTTAGACACTCAGCACATGAACCATACTGCTCACAGGCCTCCACAGGGACCTGAGCCACCTAAACCAGAGAAATGACAGGCAGTGTGAAAATGTGGAGTAGAACACATTAATGACAACGTAAATTATTAAAAACAGACATACAACAAAAAGTTAAAAGGTTTTCAAAAAGAGAATAAAAACTGCACTGCTCTCTCTTAGCATATCATTTAAACAGCATGTTTTGGCTATTTGGCATCCGTACACTTATGGACATGGTTCCAGTTGCACCCATTGTGAGTTTGCATCACACTCAGGGTGGGAAACTGTATGAGAAAATTAAGCCTGATTTTGGTCCTTTTGTAGTGTACACATGTCACGCAATCTATAAAATTAAGATTAGATTTTTGGGGCATATTTGCCTTAAGTGTTCAGACTACAGTGGAGATGTAGACAGGAAACACAGGAAGAGAGGGTGTACAACTTGCACCAAAGGATAGCAAAGGATACCAAAAGAATTGAGCCAGGAAAAATGCAACTATATGGTAAGGGTCCCAAACCACCAGGCCAAACAATACAGTCTTAAAGGAATATGCAAACATATGGTATTTCAGATAATAAATAAATAAGGGTTAATAAATAAGATGAGACTGAAGTCCTCTCTTTGTTTCTAATGTAACACTAGTTTAATCTATAAAGAAGAAGCTTTCTTGCACACAAGAAAAGTCAGCATAGGACCAGCTGAAAACTTCTTAATTGGCAATTATGTTGATGTTTTGATTAATAATTTCAGTAGTTTTTCAGGCAAAACAGTCAAATATTTTCTGATTCCAGGTACTCAAATGTGTTTTGCTGCACTTATCTATTTTATATCAGACTAACCTGAATATCTTCCTTTCAGTTTGGGACTTTTATTCAGAAGTAATTTGAAGACGCTACCTAGGGCTCTACAAACACTTAAATAGTGTTAGTATAATAAATTATACGTGCAAAGTATTAAAGTTTCTTGCTCTTAGTGTGACAAAAGTTTAAAATGGCTGCCATGGAGTGGAAATAAGGTCACTGAAGATGTGCAACCAAAACATTCTGATGAAATAATAAGTAGTTTTGATGAGGCGAGACCAAAGCCCGTTTCATCATGTTGTCTATTTTGCAATATATGGAAGCCTCATCACAGCTCAGACTGTAGAAAATCCCAGAGGAAAACAACCCCGTTTTATTCCTATATCTTGCTGCTGACACAAATTTGCGACATGCAGTATTGTGGTTCGTCCCACATGAGGAATTTTCTGAATTTTTTTTTATTTTCTTTTTTTACTCAGATGTCAGAAAGCACATGAAATGACACCACAACTATTTGAGAAGTATTTTTGCAACAATATTCTTATATAACTTTTCTTATATTCGATAAAGAGTGTTCATCCACTAAAGCATGACGATTTGTGGACTCCTATAATAGTAATTAAACTGTGAGCACACAGTATAGGTTTATGCTGCTTTTTTCACACACAGCAGCACAAATAGACAGAAAACCACACACTCTACTACTCATGCCACTTCCGTGCATGAATGTCTGGCAAAGCGTAAGCTCTCCATTAACTGCTGTGAGAGTTGCTGCTGTCGCACGGCCAGCACCGCCTCTGCATACAAAACCAGGTTGAAGCTGCTGCCTGAGCCCAGTTACTTTACACTTTATTCGAGGTCTGGACGTATGATGCAAGCAATTTCCTGATGTAAGCAATCACAAATGAAGAGTGGATTATGGATTAGAGTGTCTCCGGTGCTCTTGATAGCATAAGTGGGTGCTCTCTCAGGTCTGTGTTGGCAAAATGGATTATCTGCTGCTCCCTATGAAATAACTTTCTCTCTTTTTTCCAGCAGTTCAGAACCCATTCGGTGCATTCCATTAGCAAAATGATTTTGTAGCACGGGAGGGGCTGAGGGGTCTAAGTCCATATCTGACGCAGTAGGAATAATCCATGAATTGTTGTGGGCTGGAGCTCATCAAAACTAACTAACAAAGTTGGTCTGTGAATGTTAGGCATCCTGACCTTTACAAGGGGAGAGCTATGGATGTTCTGCTTTCTGCTGCGCTGCTAAGAATCAAATGTGAAGTCCTCGCTGCACATCCGAGTTGATTTGTTTTGCGAAATTGAGCGGAGCAGGGATGTGTTGAATCCAAATAAGATCAAAAGTCATGTCCTTAGGTTTTATGTTCACAAGAGCATAGCAGCTCAGCATCATTCTATCACTTCCATTTTATAGTAATCACATTTTCTTAAGACTGTTAGCCATTTTGACTTTGTTGTATAGTGACAGTTTAAGTAGGAAAGATGGAGTAAGGAGAGGGGTAAAACATGTGAAGGTCCCAAACAGAAAATCAGGGACGTTGAGGTTACATGTTATATACGTCTTAACCACTAGGTCCTTTGTAGATATACCTTAAAAACACTTAACTATGGCAAACTATGGCCTCAAAAATTTGGGTTTTAATAAAATCCCCTCGGAGGAGAGAGAGTAGCTTTCAAAATAAAAGTGAAATAAAGTGAAATAAGTATAATAGACATATGTCTATGTAAGGATTAAAAATAAAATTAAACGGCTGTCGCTTGTCCAGTCTTAGTTGTAACAGTAGGTGGACGTGGCTGAATGGTGTAGACATTTTTAGACAGTTACAGCTAAGTAGTTGAAGAAATTACATTGGAACAGAGTGTTGGTTACAATAGTTAAGAATTATTAATTGTTTAACTTTGTATAGATCACTAAGGTTTGAACTTCAAATATCAAGTGTAGTAGAGGATGATTTTTTATCTTATGAAATAAGAAATTTTTTCAGTAACACAGATGAAAGAAATGCTAAAAGAGAGACTGCCCTGAGCCACAGAAAGTACTGTAGTGGACGTCAAGACTCTGGCTCGATAGTGAATTTTAATATAATGCAGGTGTGTGTGTGTGTGTGTTTGTGTGTGTGTTGTTGAAAGTTCATATTATGGAGATGGGTTTCACTTCACAATACGGGGTGTATGGTTTATATTGTGTTCCAATCGTGCATCACTAAATTAAGCCATCGTCCTCAGTTTATGTTCAATGTACTGCAGATGCCTCATAAATCATTCATGACCAGACCAAGTATGTAGTAATTGTCATCAAGCCTTTGTTTGTCTTGTCTTCTCTGAAATAATTTCTTCAGGAGAAACTTAAAACAAACTCTGAGACCAATGAAATTCTCTACTCCTGGAGAGGCGAAATCTCGGTCTGGCTGCTTTTGAATGTTTTTGAGTTGTATCATGGCAGGGCCGGATGATCACGTCCACTTTTCTAGCTTTGGGAATAACAAAATCTTTATCTTTTCACAGCATCTGGTATGCCCTTACACTAATGCTTGAACTTATCATCACACCTGTTCGCTATCACTTTAACACTTTCATCCGGATTTACAGGAACTTTACGAAAGCTGCCAGATGAGCATAGAGGCTTTTAGAGCTCTGCATTACTGTCATCCGATAGTCTCAGTCTGGCTCTGGAAAATCCACAGCAATCACGTGACCACTAGAATCACGTAGAATCATGTACTTTAGGACATTATTTCTGTTTTTAAGACCAGATTTTGTTGTATAGCATTAGAAAAACTAATGCATAGTGTCCAAGAATTGAAAAATAAAATAAAATACCAATAATAACAAATGTCTTGCTTGACGAAACATTAACATTTTCACAGACTAGATCACATATAATGCAGTTTGCTGTTTCATTTAAATTCCTCATCATTTTTTTAGCCTTGCCTTACTGCAGATCTCAAGCCATAAAACCACAGATATGGGCCATTTTAGAAATAAATTCTTCAATTTAACTATTGCAAGCATTACTGACTGTATTATAGTGCAGTTACCTAAAGTGTTTATAGACAGTAGCTTCAGTCTGAAGCTAATATATCCACACATTTGTCATGTTACACTTCCTGGTGTGAGGCTGATCTTTAGCATATTTATTGTCACAATAAATAGAAATACTTATCTACAACAGGCCAACTGTACAGGACACACCTCTACCTGACCCACGTCAAATGACACTTGAACACCATCTGCTGGGATTGAGAGTTTATCAAAACTAGTTGGCAGGCATGCAGAGAAGTTGAAATCGATAGTTAATAGTGTTGATAATCGGTTGTAATGCCCATTGTCTGCCACTCCAAGTGGTAGTAGTACAAGGTAAACTTAAAGTAACAAAAAACAAGTCTAAACATGGACAATTCCAGGATCAGGATCAATATGTATGAAAAAATGTTGTAAAAATATCTACTTTTATATAATTATAGTGTTGAATAACATCCAGTTTAAAATCTGTTCAAATGAGCACATCTGCAACATGCCGGATGGTAAAAGGGGTACTTGAGCTCATCTGACGATGCTAGGAAATTAAAAAAAACAAACACTGCTGTACAGTATACTCACCATACAGGTGAGAGAGGGAATATCAACAGACAGACACAGGTAGAGAGAAACAAGAGGATGGGTGCAATTTCAAGCAGTGATTTTACATTTTACAGAGTGGCACTTTGAGAGATTGCCCTGGAAAAACCCTGCAGCAGTTTCCCCCCTACTCTGAGGTTTAAAGCTCTAGCCATCATTTCGCAAACAGACGAGTGACATTCACCGAGGTTATTGTGTGTTTGGATACTGAGCATTTCTATTCTTAGAAATGATCAAACTAAGGCACACAGTGAGAAAAAAAGATTAGCTGCTGTGAAGTTTTTTTTTTCATATCAGTAATGGTTCCCAAAAGATGTTTTGGTGCGGACACAGATACACACACACACACACACACACACACACACACACACACACACACACACACTTATTCCTTCTTTTCTCTCTTCACTCTTCATCATCATGCCAACCCTGCGTGTTTCACTCGGCGGGAGACAGAGAGGCTCATTGTTATTCCACAAGGGTCGGCTGATCTCAGCCAAATCTTTCTGTGCCTCGCTCCTCATTCCACATCATTCCTGTATTGTTTGGCTCCCAGGAATCAGAAAATCTCTCATCTCTGGGATCTACTGGAAATGTGGGAAATCTGTGCGTGAAGCTCTCTCCCGGGGGGGTTCCCTACCCGTGCTGCGGGAAAGTCTGAAGGGAAAGCTGAGCAAAGATGGAGAGGGAGACAGAAAGAGGAAGGCTTTACTCTGCTCCGAGTTCCTGGAGGCTACAAAGCCAAAGCTGTTCTAATATTGAGAGATAATGCCTGGCCAAGCTGGGTTTGGTTTTTGGTTGGTTATTATGTGTCACTCTAGGCGGACTGAAAAGAGTAGCTGGCTATCTCCTTGAAGGAAGCATGTGTCTATCCTTGAACAACCAGAGCTCATCAATAAGTGATGTCCTGTCTCTTCCAGTCTATCACACAGAAGGAAGAGCTTCTTTGATTTGTTTTAGAAAACAGTGAACAACACAATACCGTCTGTATTCTCCCTCGCTTTTCAGATGACATCACTTGTTTTCTTAAACTTGACGCTTTTATAGGTTTTTCGAGTTCTCAGAAAAGAGTTTTGGAGTTACACTGAAATCACAGACACCACTGTTATTGTCCCAGTGCCCTTTGCCTCTCTGTCCTGTGACTCTGGCTCAGTACATTCCAGTAGTCAGAGCACAACTAAAAGCAGTGATTGGGCTTCTGCTTTTTTTTGTTTTTGGCCACACTGACACAATTTCACAGTGCCATGCAGCCTTGCCAGAATAATCACTTGATGGGAGTTGAAAGTGATTACCACTGTTCACTCTTATCTCCAATGAGTGCAGAGAATATCGTCCAACAACAACAACAACTGCTCGCCTCTGTGATGCCGGGCCAAGTGAGGAGCAGACGAGGGGGGATACATCCACACAGAAAATAGCAGCTAATGGTTTTCTATGAGAGTGTGTCGCGTACAAAAGATGCATGCACTGTAAGTCGATTCGCATGGATAAGTAATTAGAACAGTGGTCCATCCCCTTACACACAGCCTGCATATTTAACAATCCCTACTGTAGCTGTAGACATACAGCTTGTGAATGTTTGGGTATTGCCACATTCAATTTGGGGGATAAGTCATAATCATCTGGTAGGAATAGCATTAATTTATCATTTAACTTAAATTAATGTTTTTCATTTGAAACCGTTTAACTGCTAATTCCTGAACTTTACAGAATAATAAGGCTAACTCTTTTTTGCAATATCTGGATAAACTGGATCTAATTAAATCCTTAAAAATAAGAAATGAATAATGGGTTTGTAGCTAAATACACATGTAAATAGCATATTTTATGTTTGTGCAATTTTCATTGGCCCAGTAGCAAAGATATTCCCATACTGTAGCTATTCATGTCAAGTAAAAGTTTTGACTCCAGATTTCATGCTACACATACAGTATCTCGCTCAAGGACATGTCAGCATGGCAAACACTCGCTGACACAGGACCTTGAACCCGCGGGCTTCCAGCTGAAGGATGCTCTCATTACTCGCTACATCACTCTGCCACTTGGTGTTTCTCCTGACAGCAGCAGCAAAATGAGGGCGTTTCCTCACCTGATTGTCAGACATGACATAGAGAGAGTTCCGGTCCAGGGAGAAGGCCATGTCCCGGAGGATGGGGCTGCTATCCTTCATCACAGTCACTGTCTCATACAGCACTCCTCCCTCCAGAGGACCGTCCAGTCTGATCTACAAGAGACAGAGACAAATACAGAGACGAAGAGGCAGTGAGTATAGTACACAGTGACTAAATGGTTACTATATATTTGTAGAGTGACATCTGTTGTTTACTGTATATCAATTTGCCAGCTTTGTACGCTTCCTTTTACAGCTGTAGCAGCTTCCAATGTCCCTTCAAAACACTGGTGTTACAAGAAAATATTCTTTAAATGTCAGCTTTATAAGAAATGAGAAAAACAGCCTGTTTTTAGTTTGATGACCACCCAAATAAATTATTTATCTTACAGAGTTTGTTACGTTTTCTTGCTTCAAATGGTTATAAAACCACAAGTTCAACATTTCTGGTCAGTGCAGTACACTGTGAAGCAAAAATCATGAAAAGTACATTCACATTAGTCAAACAATTTCTCCAGAGTAACCAACTGTACAAAATGTCCTCTTGTACAAGCCATGTACATATTGTTCTATGTTGACAAATAGACTTATGTGATCCTGACTAAATAGCTGTGAAGAAATTTTCCTCCACAATAGCAATCAATTAAAACTTTAGCTCATTAACAGAGAAGCTGCGTATGTGAAATGACACACAAAATAGCCTGTTCATTTGTTTAACTCCTGGTAAGACAAAGCAAATGAGAACATTTCCCAAAATGTTGAAATGTTTTAATATAATGGATGAGGATACTTTTCTTTTCCTGAGATGCTATCTGCTAATATCAACAGTAAGTCAGTGAAGTTTTGCATCCAGTAATAATCTATTTCTATATTTTCAGTGATATACTTCCGTATACTTCTTAAAGGTCTAGTATGTAATATTTCTGAGGATTTATTGAGAGAAATGCAATATAAGAATGAGCCATTTATATCTACATAACCGTGGGTCCCCCTTCTATGGATGTCGCCACGTTGTGTCGTCATGTTTCTACAGTAGCTGAAAACGGACAAATAGCGCTACAGAGCGCATTTTGTCACTACATTCTTCAACTAATAGATGACTGTTTCTCGCATTACGGTATGTGCTACAGTGTTTGTGTTTCAGTGTTTGATCTGCATCCATCAACCTACTGACACTTTTTTATTTCCGCAGTATCTCCATGTAGAGGACATTTAGGGGAATCACGTTTTTTGACGACTCTTTCAGAAGTGTGTCAAGCAGGCTACAGACCCTTTTAATGTTGTTCAGAATTTTTCAAATTAAAAGCTCAGTTCAACTCCAAATACTGCATTACAGTTAACAAGCTTCTCGCGCTTTTATTTTGTAAGCAAAACCACTAAAGAGGACATTTTTATGTGAGTAACTGTTGCTGCCATGACTGAGATCTATTTCAGCACCGCTATTAAAGTATATATTTATTTGTATTTTTTGCCGCTATCAAAGCACCATAATCTGACCGTGGGCCAGACATTATTGCTGGCGGGCAGTTTTGGCAAGGGTCCATTATCACAGAGAGAATTAATGTGTTTCCCTTGTCAATGTTTGTATAAACCTTATCTATTATGTGATTTATAATGGACTGTGGTGCAGAAACAGTGACAATGTTAAACACTCTTGGCTTACATTTTCCATCTTATCTGTCAGTGACCAAGTGGCAATAACATGGTTGTACTGAATAATTAAGTAAATATAATTAATTAACGTATATATATACCTAAAGAAACCTCATTTCTTGCTACTCTCTGCTGTCTCAGAAGAGACACCTGAGTGCTGTGTCAGCCACTGTAGCTGTTCTATGCTCTTTGAAAGGGTAGGGAGCAGTGGTAGACTGGAAATTTGATGGCAATTCACAACCCTCACCACAAGATGCCACTAAATCTTACACACTGTACCTTTAACTAGATGAAAAGATTGATGGCAATTAAATGTATGTTCATTCTGTAGAGAGGTCCAGGAAATGTTTAGTCTAGCTTAGCTCACAGTCACCATGAACAGCTGTTGTTTATCTGTAGGCTACAGTAGCTCAAATGAAAAGGCTAACTGTCATAAGCCGCAGTGTCTCATGTTTTATTTCTACATGTTAAATATACACATACAATGTGTAAATACAGAGATTTGGAGTTGTTGGAAACATCTTCGATAAAGGCTACGCTATAGGCTAAAGTAAACTGTTTGTTCCTGCCTCTATCCTTTGTGCTAAGCTAACATTTGGCTAAATACATAACAGGGTTGGCTTGCAAAGAGATGAAAGTGATGTTGATCTTCTTGTCTGACTTCTGGGAAGACAGCAAATAGATCCCCAAATGTTGGAGGATTCCTTAAAAAACAAAAAACAAATGAGTTACAATTTGGTTTTCCGTTGGCAATTGCATGGGTTTCCTGTTATGTGTTAGCCTTTATTACTCTGCGTGTCTGTATTAGTATTAGCACCAATGTGTGACCGTAAGCCTACAGTATACAGGGAGTTTGCAATGGAGATAGTACAGCAAGTATTATTTACTCATTTTTTGCATCAACACCCTCTTGCCTTTTGGTAGTGAGCAGTAGCTCTGGAAATATCTTCATTATTCGTTCAAGAAAGATGTATATGCTACTACTCATTCAGCAGTCCAACTGGCCGGTGCAACTCTGACGGAAATCCAACCCTGAGGTTATAGCCACGATGCAGTTGAGTTCTGAAATGTGTTCAGTGAGCTTGGTCTTAATTTGACTTTGGACTGACTTTCAGGCAGGAATCTTTTGGGGCTCATTAAATGCAAGCATGGAGAACAGATGCCCACTGGTGAAGGGTTTTCACTTCTTCTCTCCCACCTCTGCCTACAAACAAGACAAGATGTGCTGTTGCAGTGAAGCAAACAAATAAGCAGGTCTGTCTTTGTAATAAGTGGTTTACTGATGTTGGAGCTGTCAAAAGGCAGCCTTGTGAGGACGTGAATCTGATTGTAAAGATGTAAAGTGATTAGTAAGCAGAAAAACACTTTATTATTGCTGATATAAACTACCCGTTAGGAGAACTGTGTTTTAACTTCATCTACTTACCACAAAGACAAACCTCCTTGTGTGTGTCCTCTGGTGTGTATTGCATAACCATTGCCAAATGTGTTTTGCACTACAGTGCCCGTTCAATTTTTTATTTCACAACAATGACATTATAAAATCCATCTTTTGTTGGTGGAGGAATGATGTGAATTGCATCATGCAGTAATAAAAACTTGACACTTGAAATCTAAGTCAGAAATGTGAAATGAGAGAGAAAAGTCTGAATAAAGCATTGTAGCTAGACAAATAAATGAGCATTAGCTATGCAAACCCAGGTTGAAGACCTATTTAAATTCCAGGAAGATCGGATCAATAACCATGTGATGCAATTACTGTACAACTGAATTAATTTCTCAATCATAATAATTCAAATAAATTCAAGATAAATAGGAATTGGAGCAGAGAATCATGGAAGTGCTGCAAAACATCTGCAGTACAATTATGCCAGGCTTCCCTGCATGCATCCTGACGCGTGGACTTAGGCAACCTCACCACCCAAATCACATTTGACTGCAGAAGATTTTGAGTGTGTGCCAAGTCTAGCTCGCACACATGGTGGCAGAGCCTCAGCAGTCTCTCAATGGGGACAGTCGATCAATACAAACTGATTACATGATTGGATCCCCTGGGCACCAAACTTCATCAATCAATCACGCCTCTACCTTCCAGGCAGCTGTGACTCTCCAACCATCAGCTCTGACAGCCAAGAATGAAGAAGGGAGGGAGAAAATATGTGCAAATGTGTGTTAGTTTATATGGGTGGGAGGATGCGTACTTCTAGGAGTGTGGAGTGTCATCTTCCACATACAAAAACACAAAAGTAACAAGTGCAGTAGGGACATGGGATTGTCTGTTGTTTCCAGATCTGACTCTCACCGGTCAGACTGTTATTACCTCAACAACTGGCACAAACCTATCTTTTAAATAGTTATTACATAGACAGATTTATCTCAGAGCTAAGCTTCTTTCTCACTCATTGTCTGTTTTTTTTCTTGCCCTGTTTTTGCCTCCTCCTCTTCCTCCTCTTCCTCCTCCTCTCCTGTACCACAATCCCACGCCGTAATGGAGCCAGTTTACATTATGTTTTCCCACACTCCTTATTTCATAAATAGCACAAATAGAAACCAGAGCATGTAAGCATTTCTGTGGTGAAATGATGTTTAAAACCCCCCACAACAATCATCTAGAGAGCCATGTGAGTTTTTAGTTGGGTATGGTTAGGTTGAGGGCCAGAGGAACAGGAATGAGCTCAGACAAATACTGACCCATCATGACCGATCCCTGGTGTTTGATTTCAGAGGATTTAAAAGTGTTTTTATCATTTAAAACAGGGCTGACCAGGCAGAAGCCCTCTGGGAGTACAACAGGTCCTCAATCTCTCTTTAAGCCCCACAGCTCCATAATGAGAGTAAGGCGGGTTTAATTGGTTTTATAATGAGCCTGCTTGTAGGAAATTACACACAAAGTTGCACACACACATGCACATACTCACCTACGCACACAGGCATGCAAACAAAGACACATATACACTTTCTTACAAGCACACTTAGACACTGCACGCTCACTCTTTTGTTGGTTGCTGTCTTTAAATTTGTAGTTGTAAATTGTGTGCATGATCACTTGCTTAATCAGTACACTACCATGGATACTGACATATCAGGAACACACAACCAATATGCAACAATACACATATTATATTGGATCATTTTCACTCGTCATTTCAAGTAACTTGATAAAATCCAGATGATAATTAAGATACTTTCATTATAACTTAGTAACTTTTAAAACCATATTATTAGTATTAGTAGTAGTGGTAATAGTAGCAGTAGTAGTAATATTGTTCTCTACAGTCTGTTTTTGTTGTTTTGAGTGTATTAAGTTTTCTGTATCTTCCTCGTCCGTTGTCTGTCTTTATATTCTATTACTGTCAATTTTTAGCATATCTCTGAAATCTTTATCTATTTGTATTGCACCAGTCAAAATAAATAAATAAAATGTTGCAACATATATTTCAGTTACCCAGATCATGTATTAT